CAGTTTCTACATAACAACGACTCAATAATCTTATTTCAAATCATTCACATGGGGGGATACAACAATTATTGGTACATTAACCCTTTTTCTTTCTTCTTCTTTTATTTTTTCTTATTTCTTGACCTTGTTTTGTGAAAAAATGTATCAGACCACCACGTATTTATGATTCAATATGAGAAGGAAACAACGCCGTTTGGGATGTGACATTATATGGTACTAGTGAAGAATTTTTCTAAGGAACATGCCCCACTTTTCTCATTTTTTTTGGCATGATTGCTTGCGGCGTAACATGAGGAACTAGAAATTAAAATTTCAAAGTTTGGAATGTGAAAAACAAAGGGTTAAGGTGATGATGTGGTAACGTTGCTTGTTGTTGGCCATTCCTTGGACATCCTTTATGTGAATGAAAATTAAAGAAGTTGACCTCTACTCAAGTCATCGGATTCAAAAGAGGCTAATCTTTCGTTGAATTAGAGTTTACGACAGCTAACTATTCTAAGATTGGTACAACCAATTTATATGTCGATGATGAAAAATATTTAGGCCCTTACCCCTTAATGAGCCATAATGCCTTCTAAATTATAGGTCATGTTATATTTTAAATTCTAAAATGAAGGAAGTTGAGGTTTCACCCTAAAATTTTAGAAGTCCTTGTTAGGTTTCTCAACTTTCCAATGTGGGATATTTTCACATTTACATTATCACACGCCCCCATACATGATGGAAAATGGCGGAAAATTGTGACATAATTGACTATCTAGAGGTCTCAAAACTAAATCGAAGATTCATAATGCAAAGTGAAATATGGTCCAAAATTCAAGAGCGTTACTAAATTTTTCCCAACTTGATCATTTGTAGTTATGATATGGGTAATCCTAATTCATTTTTCAATTCCAACATTTTGTTGGAAATACATCAAGTACTCTTGTCTTCCCTCTTTTCGTACGTACTAGTCATGTATCAATCATTATACGTACTATGTATTTCCTTAGCTTCTTCTACAAACCAGGAAATCTTTAATAACTTGAAGAAGAAGAAAAAAACATAATTAGAAAGAAGTTATCATATGCACAGCAATTTCTCAAAACCTTTTGTTGTTGTTGTTGTTGTTCAATCGATCGTACCGAAAAGTTGGTCATTATTAAATTACCATTCTATAGCAGCTGAGGAATGAATGGGATTGCACCAATATCTCTTCTCCAATCCAATGCACGCTTCAACCCTTTCTCTATTTTCCCCCTCAAACTAGAACGTCTGGGACAGATCAAATGTATGTTAACTTGTTGGAGGATTTAGCTAAGGTTGTTGTGATTTTGATGTAACAGCTTCTAGAAGTGAATTAATTAGCATGTAACATTCCTTCCAAATTGTGACTCGATAAAAATATATATGCACGTCTCTTTCTGACTTTGTTTATGCTGTAGCATAAAACCCCACGTCATTTCACCAGAAAAAAATCAATTAAAAACGCAGACTTTCATATCCAAACTCGAAAGCAAAGTTAAAGAATTAATAGAAAATAGTTAAACCTCCAACTTCCAAGCCCAAACATATGGCATGCACCTAAAATACACAAATCCCATATAAAAAATTCAGAAGAAAATTGTGTTAAGCCAACATGATAATGCTGCTATATAGCTTCCCTTTGGCTCTTAACATATGCATGCATCTTCACGGATTTCAGGTTGTTCGTCATGCTTGAGAGCTCCATTTTATCTAACCAATTTGTTCGCTTCAATTTTTCTATAATTGACTTACAAACTCATGCCGATTCGCTATCGGCAATAATTAATCTGTATTATTACTCGCTAATGGTTTTTAATTTGTTATAATATAAGGTTGACTCTTGACTAATGGGAACAACATACATGTAACATGATGAAAGTAACCAGCCGTCCAAAGAGCCGACAAGGGGTCGTATGTTGTTCTCATCCAAATGGAGATAGAAAGAGGGGGAGATTAGGTGGTACAAGAAGCAATGGTTGCATCATTACAGATAAAGCATACAAAACCCTGATGTTTGGTCGGCATCTAATCTTAACTTAAGTAAACATCACCATGTTGCAATAACCAAAGATTATGACCTTACCAAATAGTCCTTTCCTTCATCCTCCACATATTTTCTTTTCAATTCATCGACCCGATTGACAAGTCACACTTCTCTCTCAGTCCTTGTAGTTTGTAAGCTTATGGGAGGGTACGTAGCTAGGGTTAAAAAATGAACTACCTACTTGACATGAACCCTAAATGGTAGTACTTGGAAAACAAACAATTGGGTAATAAATGTGATGGTGCCACATCATATCATTTCCCTTCTTTGTATCGTTTGCTTGCACTTAGGAGAAAGTGGTAAGCAAACTGTTGCACTTACAAACCAATTCTAAGTCAATTTCGATTGTATAGTATAATTTTCAATCAATTATATAATTAGAATGTCAATGGTGTCAAGGGTACTAAATAAATCTATGGTTTAAAACTAATTAATATATATGTATATATGCGATGATGGGGTCAACCATAAAATTTCAGGCTCTCACAATTTTTTAAAGTAAACAAAGTATATGCATTTGGTTCACAAGAATAAACTTATTGGTTACATACAATCAGTTACACGCAAGATTTTCTCCTATAACTTTTCCATTTTGTGTTTCGGCTAGGGCGAAAAGGCGACTATCTAGAGTAGGTTTTTGATCTGCCAAAACACAATTATGTGGTGATTACCAGTTTAGCACCATGAATTATACTACCTTGCAATGTACTATCCAGCTACAAAACAGTGTCATTATTGGCATAGGATTTGCCCCCACCATTAATCACAATCCTTGAAACAAAATTCATCACCGATAGCAAATGCATGTGACTGCATGATGACTGGTGTGAACATAAATTGTGAAGCAGCATGATATTATTTGGGTCCAATTCAGATACAAAATCCGACACAATAATGTAATTAGCTTTTTACAGGTGCATCATTTTAGTACTTTCAGAACAATAACTCTCTCTGGGACTTGGTTTCTTTTTATTATTTACTTTCTAATTCACACTCGTCAACCAAATACAATGATTCATAGGACTGCGTCTTCGCTTGTTGACCCCGCAATTAACAAGCAATTTGAAAAAAAGGACGAGAGAGAGAGAGAGGAGATATATATATATATATATATATATATGTAGAATTGTATGCCAATCAAAGTTTATAATTATTTGTGGTTTTGTAATGTTATATAATTATTCTACGGGACATAATTACGACACCGTTTTATATGCTATAATTTCTTGAGAGACATAATTGCATTGGTAATAGCCAGCACATGGTTGCATGGAAAAATCATAGAGAAGGAATCCAAAGTGAAGGAGAACATAAAGATTTGGCTTAAGCTCTTGAACTGGATTGGACGATAAATCCTTTTTTATATCAAACATGCTTTGATGTTGTTGGCAGACCTCAAAACAATCACTAATTACGTTAACCCAAATCTGCTAACCACCATTTGCTTCCTTAAAAGGCTTATTTTCCACCAAACTAGATTTCCTGGTCGGTTGCTTTATCTGATAGGGTGAATTTTTGGATAATTATGTCCCAGTAAACCTTGATTGCTACATGGTTTTTTTAAAATATATTTTTTTACTTTTTTTCCTTGCATGATTGAAAAGTTTTCATCATTGTGGGTGGAGAAGCCATTTACAGATTTACTCTTCCATTGCATATCAGGGTGTGAGTTGCCATATGCTGTCAAAAGTCAAAACTTTTGTGCTTTAATCCACATAATTTGACTTCTCCACTGAAATTATTGAATGTTTTGGGTTTGATCTAGCTGCAGTTGGATCATTTGGGTTCTTTCCCTTTCTTCCCTAATGATTTTTTACAGTTGGTTTGTGTTGATTACTTGAGTAACCAACACTCTTTCCCCAAAGTGCCAAAAGGACAGGGAATAAAAGTGATTCATTTTAAAGCGGCTTTTAGCCTTTTTGCTTGGGCTCAGCTGTTTGCATTATTCTTGAATTCCATTTTAAAGCTACTTGAACTTCAGGTCCTACCATCCCTTGCTTTGGATTTTGTATGCTTGGTTGAACACTTAGTGGTCCTGACCCAATGAATCTCAACTGGGCTTCTTGCGATGGAAGGTCTGAAATCCATCTGAGAAGTTTGGTTTTCTTAAACAAGCCCACACAGCACCATCATGTTCTTTTTCTTCTTTTTGGTTAAGGCCTATACGTAAGTGAAACCTACATGTAATGTAACCATGACATGTCCTACGTGAAAAAAATGTTAAAATTCAAATCTAAAACTCCATACGTCAAATTCTGAACTCCAAAAATGTAAATCTACTAAAAAGCATTACAAACTCTGTACATTACAATACAAGTGAATTCGTTTTAAGACAACTAAACGTGGTCTAATACGATTACCAAATGAGTTCTAAAAGTTAATAATGTGACATCTATACGGAACTTTGATTAAAAGAATCAACAGAAAAGTGTATGATTAAGAGCATATTTAGGCTTTTAGGTTTGGGTGAGAATAATATGAAACTTGAAGAAGATGCTGTTCGCGTACATTTTGTATTAATAATATTGTGTTTATGTGTTACATTTATATGATATAATAGTATTCAATTCACACATATTACATTGGATAAAAAATCCTTACCTTGTATGAGTATATCAGAAATCTATAGGGTCCCCTTATACCAAGGCCTCATTGGTTGCAATCAGTTGTTAGATATATCGGTCATTCTGACTTGTAATGTGAACCACCAGTCTCTGATTATTCCAGGTAAGCTCAACAACTGGAGGAGAAGGGTTCACTGGGGCCCCGTATCAGATTCTACTTGCCACATGGCAGCCCAAAAGCCAATCGGGCACCTCTCTCCTATCCTTTAAGATAAGCCCCTTCAATTCTTACATTAGCAACTCATTCACATCTCTAGGCCATTGCCACATACAATTTCACTGATCAAACAAAGAAAGCAAATTTGGTTACAAGCCTCAAGCTCCGAATGGCTTCCGCTTGGGCTTCTTCTTCTGCCATTGCAGCCGTTGCCATATCTTCTCCCAGGCAAGTTCTCAAAGCAGTGCTACATGCAAACTTTAATAATATAATATTAGGGTTTAGTGGAATTTGGACTGTTTTAGTTGCATTGTTTAATTAATTAATACAAGAAAGACATAAACCATACTGCAGCTCCCAGAAGGCTGGGTCTACTTTGGCAGCAACAAGGGCTTCTTTCTTTGGTGGGAGGAAGCTCAGAGTGAGGAACTTGACAGCGTCCTCTGGATCATCAACATCTTTCACAGTACGTGCTGCTGCAGCTGACCCTGATAGACCCTTGTGGTTCCCAGGCAGCACTCCTCCTCCATGGCTCGATGGAAGGTCGGTTCAAAATATTTAGTAATATCCATGTTGTCTTATTAAATTGTCGGTCAACATAACATGTTTATGTTGCGAGTATGTGAATCTAGACCATCAATTAGGTTGACGTTAGTCTAAATATGTGGTCTAGATTCACAGTCGCGCAACATAAGTATGCGTCTGTTACTCCATATATACTTCTCCATGTAGTTTATATCCCTTGCTTTGCTAGTTTCTGATCAAGTGTTTATACTATGATAATGCAGCCTCCCAGGAGACTTTGGCTTTGATCCCCTTGGTCTTTGTAAGTCAAACATCAAATATTTATAAACCTTATGAACACATAATCTTCCATTGTGACTAATCTTTGTTCTATTGTAACAGCATCTGACCCTGACAGCTTGAGATGGAACCAGCAAGCAGAACTTGTACACTGCAGATGGGCTATGTTAGGTGCAGCTGGCATCTTCATCCCAGAATTCTTGACCAAAATTGGCATTCTAAACACCCCTTCATGGTACACAGCCGGAGAACTAGAGTACTTCACAGACAAAACCACTCTGTTTGTTGTTGAGCTGATTTTGATTGGGTGGGCCGAGGGCAGGAGGTGGGCCGACATCCTCAAGCCCGGGTCTGTTAACACCGACCCGATCTTCCCCAACAACAAGCTCACCGGGACGGATGTTGGGTACCCAGGCGGGCTTTGGTTCGACCCACTTGGATGGGGAAGTGGTTCACCTGAAAAGATCAAGGAGCTGAGGACAAAGGAGATTAAGAATGGGAGGCTGGCTATGTTGGCTGTGATGGGGGCTTGGTTCCAACACATTTACACTGGCACTGGCCCAATTGACAACCTCTTTGCTCACCTTGCTGATCCTGGCCATGCCACCATCTTTGCTGTAAGTGCAATTAGTACAACTCGATTAGAGTTAAACCTAATTACGGGTGGTTAATTAGAGGCTAACATTTGATTGTTTTGGTTGTGTTTGCAACAGGCTTTTACTCCCAAGTGAGAGGAAAGTGAGGGATTTCTAATTGGGATTTGAGTGTGGGAGAAGGGGCAACATTGGTGATCACATACTCTTTTATTACTCCATCTTAGAGAGATGATGTGTTCTTCCAAGGAAAATTTGTAGGACTAAAACTTGTAATGTCACAGTCTCGATGTGTTTTACTTTTTCACAGAATAATCATCTGTGTGTACAAAAATCTCTTCGGACTCTGATTCCATATGTATCAAATCAGCTGGTGATGCATCCATATTATATTATTGTGAATCTGTGATAGAAAATCTCCAATGATTAACATGGAGCTGCAGAGCATGTCAATGTGCAATTTCATGATCACTGACACACGAGAAACGCTAACATGAAACGAAAATAGCATTATTTTATGGCAAAACAGCGATATTTTCGTTTCATACAAGTTTTTCTACATTCAAACACAAAAATCAAATTTTAAAACATGAATGCCAACATGAATAAACATCAAAAGGCCCAAATCCTCGCTTGCGTAAAAGCAGAGAGCAATCCTACTTTATAAACTGGTGTTTTTATCAAACTAGCTTTTTTTTTTTCTAATGTTTTGACCAAATCTTTTGCTCTTTTATATGAGAGTTGTAAGGTCACTGGATCATCCACTTGGATTCCAGCTGACATGCACAAGATGAAGCTCCAAAAAATAATTTAATCAGGAAGGTGAGATGAAGGCGTTCACATATTTTATCATATGATATTGCATATTATATTCAAACATCATTCAGAATATAATTTATCATTCTCCAAGTTGAAAACTAAAGGACAAAACAGAGAAGATTAAAAAAAAACTACCTTATCATTTGCATGTTAAAGCAATAAGCTTTTATGAGGCTTAAGTTAATGGAAGCCAAGTAGATGTTAGTTGGATTGCAAGACAATGAAAGGGTAAACTACTCATCCATTGCTATTTGCAAGACATAAAATCCTAAAACTTCAACACCAGATTCATGGATTAATTAAACGTATGGTTTAATGGTCTGCAAGTCAAGATACTTTTTCACCGAGTCAGCAAGTCAAGATAACTTTTTCAACCGGGTGGTACCGGTTGGCGATTTCAATTTCTAAGTATTTGCTTTGTACCAAGGTTTGCTGCTTGAGCCAAAAAACATCATGGTCTAAGTTAAATTGAGCAACAAGCAAATTTCTGGTATTTTAAAAAAATAAACACAAACTACTTGGCGGCAACAAGCAAAGATTGAAGCAACTACTAATCATATCATACACTTAATAAACTAAGAAATATTATGAACCCAATAGAATTTACAAACAAATTACAATTAAAAGTAAGAAATTTGTGAATAAGCAGACAATTTAGTTATAAAAATATATTCCATTTCATCAGGATCTTAGGAAAGTCACCTCATTACAGCCTAATGATGAACTCTCTCTCACCTCCTCTCTCTCCTTCTCTCAAAGTATCAGCAGCTTACTATAATACAGGATGTAATTTTTTCAATTTTTAATTTTTTTGGAAAAAAGAATTGAGAGGAAGGAGAGAAACGCTATAACTTTCTAATAACAAGCAAAACCGGAACCACCGACTACGAGGGAGGGGTGGGAGGCCGTACGGAGATTTGAACCGGAAGGGGTCGACCAGTACCAGAACCACCACAGCTTCTGCAGAACGTGCGACCCGACCCGGCACAGCTCCGGCACCCGACATCGCCATCGGACCAGCGCGAGCAGAAGCAGGAGACCCGACCCGTGCCATTGCAACTGGGGCACCTGGGAAACGGGCCGGCCATGGGCTTCTGGTCCATGACCGATTTGACGAGGACCGCCCCGGCCAAGACGCCGAGACCCGTAGCCAGCTGGGTCAACACAATCGGACCACCCATTGTTGATAAGGAGCGAGGAGAGAGCAGAGAGAGGGAAGAAAAGAAGCGAAAGGCGCAGAGAGAAGGGAGATTTTCTAATTTTTTTTGTTGGTGGGTTTTATTGTGAAGTTCTGAGAAATATAAATGTTTATGGTTTTGAAGTTGAACACGTAGACGCGTGTGTGTGTTGGGGGCTTGGGTTGGGGTGGATTTTTAAAGGGGGTTGGGGATTTTGGAATTTTGCGGACGTGTTGGTTTTTTATTTTGATTTTTCTTGCTTCTACGCTACTTCTACACTTGCTTGTTTCTATTTCATTTTTTGTCACATGTAGCATGATGTTTGTGACTTGTGGGTGATGCTAAATGGGTTTTGAATTTCTTTGAAGTGAATAACGCACAAAGAATATTCTCTTTTATTATTATTATTTTTTTAAAATTATTAACAAATGTTTGACACAAGTCTCACTTTTATAAATGTTAAGTTCACTGAATCGGACTGACAAATTTCATACTGTATTAAAGTCAAAAGATAATTCAATGCATTCACAAGACGTGACTCTTGCTTTAAAGTTTCAAACTATTTTGACTAACTTGATTAATATTAATATAAATAAACTAAGTCTTTCAAGTTTTATACCTAGTTTTTGAAGTAGGTATTAGGTTGAGTTTGATGTTAGAAGAAAGACACAAGTTTAGTGGAGTGAAAATCATACAGCTATAAGTTAAGCCAAGATACAATTTTTCTAATTTGGAATAAACCTCGTTGGTATATAATTTTGAAGTTGTTGAAAACTCTCTCTGAAGCGGTCAAAGTCAACTATTTTTATTATTAATCTTTCAGTACCGAGTCTACCGAGTGCCGACTGATCTCCTAGCAAAGACAAATTTGCGGCGCCGCCCAAGTGCTCTCTCTTGTCAGTATTCTATTGGAAACCACCACCGCAATTCTCAACAATCTCTGGTCCAACTACTAATGGCCTGACAAAATGTTAAGGTTCGTGCATTTGCCCATTGTATTTTCGCGACCCATTAGAATTATTTATAAAAAAATTGTGAAACTTAACAACACGTTGAGATGGCCGAGTTGGTCTAAGGCGCCAGATTAAGGTTCTGGTCCGAAAGGGCGTGGGTTCAAATCCCACTCTCAACACAAATATTTTTTTTTCCCTTTTTTTTTTTTCCTTCCTTTTTTGGGGGGGGGGGGGGGGGGGGGGGGGGGGTGGAATTTTCCTCTGCCTAACATGGCTCTCTCTCCTCTCTACGATTGATACATTAAGAGCAACCATGATGATGTTATCTATTTTTAGCTAAAATTTGGCTAAAAATATAAGAAAACTATTTTAGAAGCTCTCTAAAAAATTTCAACTCCAACCATACTCCATAATTTGGAGAGTTATAAATGCTATAACTCTTTTTTGATTGGTCCATCTCTATTAAAAAATAAAATAAAAAATAATTAACATTAAATAAAAGTTTGAAATACTCATTAAATAAAGGAGCATTAAATTATAGAAAGTTACTAGAAGTCATTTCTCTCTTATCAGATTTATGAGCTTCTAGAGGACTCCCTATTTTAGGAGGTGGATAAGGAGCGTCGTTGGAGTTGCATTTTTATGATTCCTCCCTAAAATTTGTCTAGGAATGTAGTTTAGGAAACCCATTGTGGATACTCTAAGGCCTGGAACTCTGTTTAGGAGTTGTCTCAGATTAATGAGTTCTCTTCTCACGCAAAGGGAGAATGATGTAAATTTAAATACAATTTGCTATTTAATAGATAATTAACCGCGGCCAAAGCATCCATTTAACTACTCATACCCTAAAACAAAAGTACAATTTTTTCCTTTGGCCTGGAAACAGACTACAAAATTGATTTGCGAGAAAACTACAACGTTGCACCGCAGGGGCATCAGCTATGAATTTTACAAAAATATCATCCCCAGTTAAATCAGACTATCAAGAAAATCTATTGGCACTAGATAGATTCAATTCCTCAACAAAATCACAGGCTATCTAATCAATGCTACTTGCATAATTGCATTGCCCTGTTTTTTTTTCTTGCATTCATATTTCTTATGGTTTTTTGTTTTTTGTTGCTGCATCCAACTTGTAACAAGCCGCACCATTGTAGTTACTACATAGCTCTCCCACATGTCCTTGTGTAGAAATTCTCTAACAACTCTTTATTGCCAAAATATCCTTTCGAATGAATCCAAAATTTCGATGAAAAAGAATATCAATCTCAGTATACTTGTCTGATGTTGATGTTGATTCTTGAACTTCGGATGTATTCTAAAACACTAAAATCATCCTCCTGTGAGAACTGCCTCTGAAGAGTCACAATTTCATCATTTTCTCCGTCTGTGAATATCCGAGGCACACCTGCAATTTAAGAAAGCAAAGCTGATCTATTTATGAAGATGTTAAAACAAGACTCTAGGAATTAATTATGATATAGCATGCAATTACAACATGTTTCTGGCAAATGGGAAAGTCAAACTGCTCTATTTATCACAAGAAAGCACATGGGATTAAGGCTGAGTAGAGTTACTTAAGTTGAGGCGCAAAGTAACACTGTTAGTTTGACATAAAGGCAGCCCAAGCAACAGATATGCCAAGGCAAAAATTAGAAACCAAACTAAAATTCCAGCATCACTTTTCTCACTTGTAGATTGGTCTTACCATTTCACTGACGATTTACACGATTGGAAAAACATAGAGATTAGCCATTAAGTACCGATTTATTATCTTAGGCACTCAATACCAAATAAAAGAAAGATAGATAAAGATCTGCACTTACCATGAAAGCATTCCCTTGCTTCCCCAGCCATAAGTACAACATCACCGCTTCGAAGGAACATTGCTATTGGAGGATCTTCCCTATGCTTTCCTCCCAAAAGGAATATTGCTTTGCAGCCTAAACTGAGGGAAGTGAAAGATATTTCAGCTCCTACGGAGATGTATACTCTCAAATTTCTATTTTTCTTTTTTGACAAACAACCAGAATCAAAAAACAAAAATGAAATGGCATGGCAAGATACCTCATGCTTACAATAGGCTTACTCCAATCAGCTTCCATGTCATCAAGGTGGCCCCCAAGCATATCACCTAAACAAAAGAACAGGACACAGAACAAATGTAAATTCTAACTTGTATACACTTTCAAACCGAAAAAGGGAAAACAAATAAACCGATGGTTAAAAACCTGCTAATATAAGCAATTTTTTCTTAGTAATACCTGGGCCAAAGTAGTTCACTATTGCACCTTCAGGCTGGAATTCTTCACCCAGAGGCATTGCAGGTGTTGCCAGTCTTTTAGCCAGTTGGGAGAGTGTATCAGGGATCTTCTTATGCGGGAGAGAGACATCATAGTTTCGCTACATCGTGAACATGACAATAGTTAGATACATGTTGTGACGTAACTTTAATGCATGGACATGCTATTTTCTGTTTATTGAATAAAACACTCAAATGCACAAGAAAATACATTCAATGTAATGTCAGTGGAGCAACCTTAAATTGTTTCCCACCCAAATCAGTTAATATCCAAGTGACAATGCAATTTTTATTTAGTGAAACTGCTTAATATGCTTTCAAAATTGGAAAAATGAATCAGCTCAGCACAACCTTGGACCAGTCAAATTGCAGGCCAAGGGTGCTCCAACGCAATTTCCGCAATAGAACTGAAGCTGAAACTGATTTGCACGTGCTCCCTTTCAAAGACACTTCATGTTCCTCAAAGAACTTCCAACCGTGAACACCTCCATTGCTGACAGAAGGATCACATTCAGAATTTGAACCCCCATCTGCAACCAAAACTTTCCTCTCATTCGCTGCAATAAACAAGTCATTTATAGGCCCGTAAAATGCATTGTGATTTGTTCTGTTAGGAGGCTGCGGGAAGCTGGTTAAACTCTCCTTTATCCACTGGCATTGTTCCTTCACACTCAGTGCTCCAGGAATGAAATAAAACCCTGTGTTGTGTAAAAAAAAGGAAATATTTGTATAAACTAACATATTCTGCAATCAACAAAGAAAACAAACAATAACAACAGTAACTAATATTCCAATTCAAAACCCTAGGATCTTCAAATTCATACATTTCAATTACAATGAGAATAGGTTGATACCTGGGCGATTTTCTAAGGAGAACACGGGCCTATCGAAACCACATCGAAGAGGAACGACACCGTGTGGAAGCTCAACGTTTTGATAGTACGATTCTAGAATGGAATTGAAATCCAATACCTCTGATAAATCCACGGGTTTGGGTTTCCGTTTCCTGAGAGATGGTCAAATTACATGTTTGGTTAACAGAAGAAATTGGAAGCGAAAATCGTGAAATAGTTGGGAAAACGAAGATCAAGTTTTTACTTGGATGATTTGTAGGTGTCTTCGTAATACAGCTTGTACTTCTTCTCCGCTCTTCTGAAAGCGGTTCGTTCCAAATCCTCCGGGACTGAACCGGATTCGGATCCGTACATTTCAGCGAGTCGCCTCGGTCGGTGAGTTAACTCCGAGTCACGAAAGACAGTGACGTAATTATCGGAGTGGTTTCACTAGGGTTTTATCGCGCGTTTTCAGTTCACAGCTGAGGTGGGGGCTGGGCTCGCACTTCTGGGTTTCGCGTCGCCGCAGTGGTTTTATTTTTCCTCTTTTGCCCTTTCGCGGCAATAATTTTATCTGTAATTTTTTTTAATCGAAATCTTCTCTGTAATTTAGTTCACAAATAATTTACATTTTTAAGAAAATTATATCTTACCGCCAAATTATACAAAATCCCAATACCAACATAAGTCTATTATTTTTGGTACACTACACAATTCTTTTGTAAAAACAAAGAAAAAGTTGCCCTAAAAAAAATGAAAAAGTTTTATGCAGTATCTTTTTGTGACTTCTTATAAAAGTAGGAGATGAAATTGCTTGATCCTAATAATGGCCGGTTTGATTTGATTTTGATCATAAAAATGGTCAAACGATTTCAAATCGAACTGTCTCGTAATAATTTTGGCCATGATTTTGAGCATTTGACCTAAACTGAACTAGACCAATCACTTACTTATATATTCATTTCGTTATATTTTATTTTACATGTGTAGTCTCTTATTATATATTTGAAGAGAGTTGTAATTAATAACCAGATGAAAATGTTTAAATTGAAGTTTGATAGAACTTTATAGTTATTTATTTAGGTTGTGACTATATTAGTTGTGGGAGTAGATATTTTCGTCTCCAATCACAGCACGCCACATGGAAAAGAAGATTATCTCTTTTAATTAATTAATTGAACCAGTTTATCTGGCCAATTAATTAATTGGGATAAATATCTTAATTAAATGATATTATCTTTATTTAATAAGATAATATCATTAATTAAGATATTATCCTAATAAAGAGAAGATAATGTCATTATCTCAGATATTATCTTTATAAAAAGAGATAATATCATTTAATTCAGATATTATCTCCATAAAAAGAGATAATATCATTAAATCAGATATTATCTCAGTCCGACTCGATCCCTACGAATTTGGATAGATAATAAACTCAGCATATTCTCTACGAAACCCTAGCCCCGAGGCTCCTATAAATAGATGACTTCATTCATCATTCAAAGTACATCTAAACCTACTCCTTATACCCGAGAAAAATACCCAAAGCTCTTTCTCCCTCTCCACTCTCCATATTTTCTCCACACGGCTCCGACCACCACACACGGCTCCGGCCGCCCGGTTCACACCCTACATAAACACTACTCCGTACCCTTTGCTTAGCTATTGTTTTTCTACAAACACTCGAACTAACTTAGGCATCGGAGGGCCTTTGGCCAACACCCCCTGGGTGTGGTCTATTTACTCCAATCTGTTTTACAGGAATCGAGGAAGAGAGAGAAGAAAGATCGAAGGTTGAAGGATCTAGAAGCGAATATTTTCCCGTGAGATTATTTGCACAAACATTTGGTGCTTTCATTGAGAGCACGAGTTATACTCAACGCGTGCTCAAGGAATTCGTTCCTCCTATTGTCCAATCCACCGAAGCCTTCCAAACAACCATGGTTGGAAGCAAGCGCACGAGGAGCAAAACCGCCGCGATGGCTAAATCCGCGACGACCCAAAGCCACTCCACCCACAATCCCGCGATCGACATGGTGGCACCACCACCTCTCACCACCGTGCCACCTACCAGACCCGCAGTCGGATCTAGCAACCTCCGTGGCACCGCCACCGAGCATGGTGGAACCTCCCATCAAGGTGGGCTCGTTACCACCACAGACTTAGGCCCGGTCTTGGAGCAACTTCAAGCATTCCCTCCATTGCCTCCATGCTCGACGCATGCTCCTGCATACACATCCAATGAAACCCTAGCCCATGTGCAATTGGGCTCCACACACTTCTCTCTTCCCGATCCACGAAGTCAAGCAGATCTTAATATGAGAGTTGACCAGCTAGCTCAGAGGATGGACGACCAAACCAATCTGATGAGGCAGCTCCTCCACCAAATAAACTTTGTTCAAAACCTTGACCTTGGACAACCGGGCGAAGAGAGAATGATGGATGAACGCACCTATCGGCAACTCGATGGGTACCAAGCAGGTCGAGCAGGAATGGGCAGACAAGGAGAGGGACAACAACATGATCAGCTTGCCGGCATGTCACAAGCATCTGCAAGCCACACACAAAGCAACGTGCGAGAAAGACTCGGCCCATGACTTGACGTTTGCGCTCGCCTGAGCCCGCAGGGAAATGTTTATGAAAGGCTAGGTTCCCAGGGAGGTCAAACTGACAATCGCCGCAATGAGGATCATGAAGAGAGGCGCACTGCTACCCGCTCGCAGAGAAAGATTCATGAAAGGCTAGGCCCCCAAGGAGGTCAACTTGGTAACCTGCACAATGAGGACCGTGAAGAAAGGCACTCCACTAACCGCTCTCGAAGAACCAATTCTCATCGCCAAGTTACAGAAAATCCCTCGCAAGCACGGTCCACAAACACGCCGCCTAGGCAGCGTAGCCGAGAAGATCAACCCTTGCAAACCAACGAGGAAGTTACTCGGTCTCGCCCAAATCGTAAAGGTCATTAACGTGACCGACTAGCCATGTGTGCGGAAGACATTGAGAAGCTTGTGAATAACCGACTTCGAGACTTAAAGATTGGTGGAAATTTCGAAGATGCACTATGTGTTGAGGTAGACTGAGCAAACTCATCACCTTTCACCGTCGAAATTGAGCAGGCTGCTCCCCCGAAACGATTCTCAACGCCTTCTTTTACATGCTTCAAAGGCAATTCCGATCCCGAAAGCCATCTGAAGCATTTTAAGAGCCTTATGATCATCTACAAAGCCGAAGACGCGCTAATGTGCAAGGTGTTTGCAATGACTTTGCAAGGAGCAGCTCAGGACTGGTTCCACACCCTACCATCCGGGTCGATCAGCAGCTTCAAGGAGCTTGCTTATGTCTTCACTAAAGAATACAGTTCTTATCGGTCAATCAAGAAGAATCCTGACCATCTGTTCAACATGCACAAGAAGTCCAATGAATCCCTGCGAGACTACATCAAGAGGTTCAAAGCGGAGAGGGCAAACATTGTAGGATGTGATGACCAAATTGCGTTCTCTGCCTTCAAAAGGGGGTTGCCAACTGAATGTGAGATGTATCGTGAGCTGACCATCTATCCTCGCCAAACACTAGTAGAAGTCTTCGCTATAGCAGAGCGCTACGCATTATGGGACGACGACCAGATCGCCACGAAGAAGGCTGATCAAGTTGCTAAGCAGGCAAGCCAAGAGAACGGCAAGCGCAGATCACAGCCTCAGGAAGGTGCTTCAGTAGTGGAGAGCTACACCAAGTTCACTATCCCGATACACCAGATCCTGGCCCAAGTAAAAGACATGCCTTGGTTGAAGAAACCATCGCCTTTAAAGGGAAACCCAACCAAGAAGGATACCAGTAGATACTGCACATTCCATGAAGGGCATGGTCATTACACAAACGACTGCTTCGCCTGGAAAAGGCACCTTGAAGATCTAGTCAGAGACGACCATTGCACGGAATTCATCGCAAGGAGGGCTATCCAGCAAATTAAGGATTGTGACACAGCTAACGATGAACCTTCACAAAAAAGGTCATATGGATCAACACGATCCTAGCAGACTCCAAAAGCCCAGACTGACCACCAGGGGGCCAAGAGAAAGATCAAGCAGACGACTTCCGTCTCCTAAGCCGTCACTAGCTAGCAAGTTGTGGAAGACGAACCTTTCATCATCTTTCAATGGAAGGAAGTTCTAAGACAATGAAATACCCATCACCTCCAAGGATACTATCCATGAAGCTCTTCACCTATCAGCTCGGCTCTAAGCAGGCGACCCAGCCTTCCTCACCTCCATTGAAGACAAGTTACTTTTGATGTTACTCATGCACTCATCTTTTTTGTTCAATAAGGCAATGTAGTCACACAGACATCAATACAAGTTCAAGCTTTTCTTTCCAATGAAGTATTCACAAAAGCAATCGACATGTTTCCGGACGTAGGCCAAACGAGCCATTCTCAACGACACGTCCCCGGACGTAGGCCAAACAGGCCACTATCATCAACACGTCTTCGGACGTAGGCCAAACGGGTCACACACATCGACACGTCTCTGGACGTAGGCCAAACGGGCCATTATCATCGACACGTCTCCGGACGTAGGCCAAACGGGTCACACACATCGACACGTCCCCGGACGTAGGCCAAACGGGCCACTATCATCGACACGTCTCCGAACATAGGCCAAACGGGTCACACACATCGACACGTCTCTGGACGTAGGCCAAAAGGGCCACTATCATCGACACATCCCCGGACGTAGGCCAAACGGGTCACACACATCGACATGTCCTCGGACGTAGGCCAAATGGGCCACTATCATCGACACGTCTCCGGACGTAGGCCAAACGGGTCACACACATAGACACGTCCCCGGACATAGGCCAAACGGGCCACTATCATCGACACGTTTTCGGACGTAGGCCAAACAGGTCACTATCATCGACACGTCTCCAGACGTAGGCCAAACGGTCCACTATCATCGACACGTCTCTGGACGTAGGCCAAACGGGTCACTCTCATCGACACGTCTCTGGACATAGGCCAAACGGGCCACCCTCATCGAAACGTCTCCGGACGTAGGCAAAACATGCCTCAACCCAGAAACACTCAAATAGTTCACAAGACACTATGCAAATTGAAGTTGAAAAAATAACTGAAATTTCCTTAATAAAGTGACCAACAGGCCAAAGTTCAACAAAAAGAAGACGGTCAAGCAAGACCAATTATTCTAAATGAGAAAGCAGACTACAAAAGCTGAAAAGAAATAAAGAAGTCTTCACCTATTCTGAGACGCCAACATGAGATCCCTGATCTGCAGCCACTTCAGCGTCCGTCTGATCAGCCACACTCTCAGCAGTTCCACATGCCTGATCCTCCATGTCTGCCACCACTTCCTTTTTGAAGGAGAAGAAATGTTGCTTCCTTTTGTTTTTCCAAGGAAAGACTTGGGAAAGTACCAAGATCGCCAGCCTGACGGATTTGATGAACTAGCTCAGCACAAGTGGATGGACTTGACAGAAAGTTCGTCTTGAGCAGATCAGACACGCCTGCATCCTCTGCAGGGGTGGACTTGTCCACCTTGGGATCAGTTGCTGACGTTGCAGAAGAGCCCTTCGCCCAGGCAAATGACTCTCTTGCTTTCTTAGCCTCTGTCAACCTCACTTCTAAAGGAATTGGCGACGATGAATCCACTCCATGCTTGACTGCTCGTGACTCAACAGTTGAAACATGATGGTTGGATGGATGAGCAGATTGCCCATATCGACTTCCAATCTTCGACTGGTACAAACGACTCAAATTTCGAAAAGGAGCATCCGCATCTCTTTGCCTCTCAACAAGTGAGCTAGATCGCGCACGGACTACTTTACGGAGCATATCACAATCTCCAAACTCATCAAGCTTGAGCTCTTGAAGACTGACATCAGCCTTCCTCTTTTAGGGGAGTTTAGCAAAACACTCCTCATGTCCAGCAGGCAAATCATCAAGGCTCGGACCATCTTGCTTCCATCTATCGACATCTTTAGCAAAGGCAGCCCACCAACTCCTCCTGATCGTCGCTCAGCAGTCGCCAGCGGCCACCGCAGCTCCAATTGTCTTTGGCCACCAGTCACGACGACAACCAGCCTGGTCCCACCCAACTGGTCCTCGCCTTGAAAAAGAGAAGACGAAGAAAAATTTACGTGCTCGACTTACTTTGGGATGCACAGCAACTCCTCTCTTCGACAAGTAGTACAAAATTCTCCAAGATCTTTCTCAAGCTAGAAAGTAGAGAAGTTAAGTTTGCGATGTAAGAAAGAGTGAAGAGAAGCCCTGTATTTATACAAGTTGGACAACCCGGGTCAAGAAGGAATCTCAAGCTCTTTCCTACTGGGAATCCAACTCCAACAACAGTCAGAAGCCTACACCAATTGAGAATCCGATCTGCAAAAGGAGTCCAACTCACAGAAGAAAGCCCAGACTCAGTTGGAGAGCCCGAAAAAAATAATTTCATCTCCTACATGCCACACAAGTGTCACGCAGAAGCTGGGGGGCATTTGTGGGAGCAGATATTTTCGTCTTCAATCACAGCACGCCACGTGAAAAAGAAGATTATCTCTTTTAATTAATTAATTGAATCAGTTTATCTGGCCAATTAATTAATTGGGATAAATATCTTAATTAAATGATATTATCTTTATTTAATAAGATAATATCATTAATTAAGATATTATCCTAATAAAGAGAAGATAATGTCATTATCTCAGATATTATCTTTATAAAAAGAGATAATATCATTTAATTCAGATATTATTTCCATAAAAAGAGATAATATCATTAAATCAGATATTATCTCAGTCCGACTCGATCCCTACGAATTTGGGTAGAGAATAAACTCAACATATTCTCTACGAAACCCTAGCCCCGAGGCTCCTATAAATAGATGACTTCATTCATCATTCAAGGTACATCTAAACCTATTCCTTATACCCGAGAAAAATACCCGAAGCTCTTTCTCCCTCTCCACTCTCCATATTTTCTCCACACGGCTCCGGCCACCACACACGGCTCCGACCGCCCGGTTCAAACCCTACAGAAACACTACTTCGTACCCTTTGCTTAGCTATTGTTTTTCTACAAACACTCGAACTAACTTAGGCATCGGAGGGCCTTTGGCCAACACCCCCCGGGTGTGGTCTATTTACTCCAATCTGTTTTACAGGAATCGAGGAAGAGAGAGAAGGAAGATCGAAGGTTGAAGGATCTAGAAGCGAATATTCTCCCGTGAGATTATTTGCACAAACATTAGTTATTGGCAAATTGCTCTAGGATGGTTTGATGTGTTCGAAAATGGAAAATATGTAGGAATATTTGTGTTAAAACCGAACCGACGTGCTGTACAAAAAAGAATAGAATAATAAAATGAAAGGAATAATGAAACAAAATAGTGCTCCCTCAAGTAAAATGAAATTATGTTTGAAGGAGTCAAATTGCCTAAAAACCCCATAGAAGGTTTTCTCCCTCGTAATAAACGGTAAACCGAACATGGTGGGAAGAGGAAATAAGCGCTCCACAGTCCAAATACCAATTTCCACCTAAAAGACGATTAAGTCCTTACTGATGCGCCTGACTAATGGCACCGAAAAAGGGTACTTTTGTCCTTATAATTTAAAAAATCTCCTGTATTTATCTTTTGGGAAGAAAAGAAACAAATTTAGAGAAGGGAGAGTAGACGACAGAAGAAAAAGAAACACAACAATCTTCTTCTCGGAATCAAAAAAGAGGGACCAGAAATGGCGTGCAGGACTGCGTTGCGTTCCGCTCTGTTAATAGAAGCGTGTCGACCCGTTCATCTCACTCGGAGCTCCGCCTCCGCTTCATTCAGGACCCGCGGGTTCTCCTCTCCCAGGCTGAGTGGGCAGTTCAGGACCCGGGGTTTCCACTTCGCCAAACGGACGCACCTCAACTGCTCCCACAACGAAAACGCGTCGTCTTTGTCTGAGGACGAACAAGGCCCGCCCCAAGAGGCCGTTTTGAAAGCAATTTCAGGTTTCGTCTCTGAAACTTTTTTGTTTAATTTTATACTTTAAAAAAAAACAAAAATTTCACTCGTTATTGGTATCGGATGTAGAGGTGTCTAAAACGGAAGGGAGAGTTGGGCAAACCACGAATGTGGTGATTGGAGGTACGGTGACAGATGATTCTACGAATGAATGGCTCGCCTTGGATCAGAAGGTATAATAATATAAAGCCATTTATTTGTTTTGCTTTCCTTAGGTTTGATTTAACAGCCTATTTTATATTTTTAAGTTTAAGGATTAAGTTATTTAATATTTTTGAGGAGCTTGTGTTTATAAATGGTGTAAATTTTGTATTTTTAAGGTAAATTCGTACCCAACTGTTAGAGGGTTTACAGCGATTGGAACTGGAGGGGATGATTTTGTGCAAGCTATGGTTGTTGCTGTCGAATCTGTAATTCAACAACCTGTTCCTGAGGTATACATACTTACATACAATGTGTGTGTGTGTGTTTATCCCTTGTTGTGGCTGCCCATCATTTTCAATTTCTTCGATAAATAAATATATTTATGAATTGCTCTAGTGCATTTTTTTGCAAGCATTATGTTTTACATGATCTGTTTCGCTTCATATTGATCAGTGGCTGAGCCTTGCCGAAAGCATACCATCAAATCCCATACTCTTGTGTGGCCTTTGTTTTCATTCTAGGTCGGATTTTTGTAGATAGAATTTCATTGAATGTGTTGATGCTCACAAATGCAGCGTAGTTTAATAGGAGGTGAACAGAAATTGGCAACTGCCATTTAATTTCAGGGTTGAATTCTCAAGTATGTGAATTTGCAGACTGATAGAAGCGAATTATGATAGCCATCCAGAGGTGTAGGGACAAATCATTACAATGTTAAATTCATACCTCATAAACAAAATTATGGTGCATTTGAGTTGTTTCTTAAACCTGTGTGTAAGTCCTTGAAACTACATGGTAGGTTTAAGATAATTTGTTATTCATTGGGGGCAAGGGGAGATCTTCATAGTGATGTCTTCTACCATGGCCCTCCTGCCCTTTGTTCTTGTACACACATTATATTTCCAACCAAAGTAGTTATCACTGTTGGCTGGGGACAAAATATTTGAGATATAGATGGATAGGCTGAGGAATAGGGTATCCTGAACATGTGAAGCAGTTATGAAAATAGGAGTAGCTTTGACCAGTAATCATGAAGGAAAACTAATGGTTTATGGACTTGCCACTCAGAAGTATCCTGCAAGTTCAAACCTGCTGAAGAGGAGTGAGAAGGTGCATAAGAGCATGAAACGTGTAAGAAAAATCTTCAACTAATTCTAGGTTTGAATTTGAATTGGCACTGCAGGGAGTTGGGTAGGCTGCATATGTGATAAAAGGAACTAGTGAACTTCTATATTGAGTGTGGTAGATACTTGTCAATGCTCTATTAAGTATTAAGTGAGGTGGATAGCACTGTTGGCCAGAAAAATGGGGTTTAAGTCTCGTCCTTGGTGCTAATAACTGAAATTGGCTCCTGATGTGAACTTATTAGGGTTACATGGAACCAACCTTATGGAAACGACTAATAGTTGAGTTTGACCATAGTTCAGTGTTCCCACTGGTTGAATATGATTCAGAAACAGGAATAGCTACTCTAGCCTACAGCAAAATGCTGACCTATGGGAATGCACTTTGAAGTTTATACTGTTGAGCCTAATTTGAAAGCGGCAAATTGAGATCAATTAATGCCAAATTATTGTCTTTTCTGTAATGCCCCATCATACGGGTATTTTCACTGTTAACATAATTTTCGATCTAAGAAACATTTTTGACATTGAACACCAAGTACTGGGAATCTTTGCTTCTGGGCTTGGTCATGAATCATAATTCCAGTAGTAATCAAGAGTTGATATTTGTTTTAAATCTAGACCTACCATATGATGAAATTCATTTACTCCCAAAGGTTGCTGTAGAAAGTGGCAGGATGATGCAACATCTAACGGCAATCTTTGTGCTTCCATATTTTTTGTTGCCCCTTTTGAATTATAATCATTTTTGAAATTGTGATTGTTGATATATTTGCTGATGACGTCTAATCTTTCAAGTGGATGAGTTCAATCAACTCACGAATAATAAATGCAAAAGTTTGATGGAGTTTGCTATTTGTTATTGTGCTTTATGACAGGGTCACGTGAGGCAGAAGGTATCATCGAGGGGCAAATATGTATCTGTAAACATTGGACCTGTTCAAGTCATTTCTAGTGAACAGGTCTTCCTCTCCCCTCCTCGCACTCTCCCGCAATGAATTTGCTAATATTATTTCTCTATAACTATGATGGAAAAAAATCTCCATGTAGTTGATGGTAAAATTTACAATTTGTTTTTCAATCCAGTGACACTGGAAGAAGATATTTGTTAACATGGAGTTTTGTTGTGACTTCCAGGTCCAAGCTGTGTACAATGCCATGAGAAGAGATGATCGGATGAAATACTTTTTGTAGCTTGATACTCCCATTTTGTTTGTACTTTTGTACAGAGTGCCAATTTTCTAGGGCCATCCCTAGTCCCACTGTTGCCATCCAATTTAGTCTGGTTTGTGCTCTTTTGGATTTCGGCTAATTCATGATGTTAGTGGGCTGAGCAGTCTGGCAATGAGTCTATCCATCTGCTTGCTCAGAATGTATGTAGGTATAATTCAGAAAGTAGGCAGACATTTATCAGTCCTTATTATTCCAATGTCAATTTTATGCTTTTACTATATGTTACTGATTTTTATGGAAGGCCGAGTTACAAATGCTTTTGGGTTTGTTAGCGTGGGCTTGTAACCAATCAGGGCATTAAAGTGATTGATAGTTTCATGGCCAAAAAAAAAATTACAATAACCTTCTTTTGCTGGCTATTAGAGACCCTTGCAGGACATTTTAGGTGTTTTCTAATTATAGAATCTTTAAACTCTAGTCGTAATTTTCTTTTCTATGATATTTGTTTAGGAAATCTGGTTTGCCGCTTGTCTTTTCCCAAATGTTCACATAATTATGACTTTGCTCCAACTTAAATGGATTGAGGATCCTAATCTTAGGTTAACCTTACTTTGAAAGGGGTTTATCTTTTAAGAGAAGCAGCTAAGACAAGTCTTGGATACTAAGCATCTGATTTAGTTACTAATCTTTGTACTAATCAAGTGCTAATCTTTTACTTATAAATGCATCTGAGATGCCATTTGAGAAAATCTCAATAATGCAAGGCCGACCATTATTTCGTCATGCTAATCACGTCTGTCCAAAAAAAGAAAATCATATTCATAGAGCAATAATGTTTTAGTTAGAGATGCTGCCGACATCCCATTTGATTTGAGCAAAATTCCAATTAGGTTAATGCAAACATATGAAGCCTTTGCTTCAAAAGTAGGCTCAAAGGAGAAACGGCATGGATTATACATAATACATGAACTTTTACTTGAATAATTATGATTATCAAACTAATAGAACACGGTTACCGTTCTTAAAACGAACTAATTTGCAGAATGAAGCATATGCTTGTAATGGTTCTTGGATGTGGATGTTGGGGACATTTTATTTTTAATTTTTCTTAACAGTGGTTTGGAATAAATTAAAGTATTATACTGATAATCATACTTAAACCCACATCATTAGACATATAAACTAATACTGCTTAGGAAAACTGTTACATGATTTCCCGCCCCTGCTCCCCATAAAAGAGAAACCCTAAGACTACTTGCCCTCTACGTGTGAAATATCCAAAGGCCCTCACATAATTTTATTTCACAAATCCCACCTTATCATTTATTTATTTTTGGTTCAAAACCAGTCCCTATCAGTTTGAAAAGATTCCAACTCCCTCACCTTGTAATGCATTATGTATGTCTGAATGCATGCCAAGCCCTCCATAAGTCACCATCTTCTCCATATATAATAAACCCTTGATGACCTAAGACATGGCATGGCAGCATCTTTTTCTTTTTGAAAATAATAATATATACGCTGGTTGTTGCCATTTCGCAGTCTCCAACTTTTTATTATCTTTATTTGCTACAACTCAGATTGATAGATGCATTCACGCAGGCATTTCGGTGAATGCAGATCTTTAAAGGTCAGTTTTTCACTGACAGACAAGTTTAAAATCCAAAACCCCAACCATCATTTGGATGCCTACTTTGTTAATTCTAGTTTGACTGAAAAAACTAGACTTTTTGTTACCCAGAAAGGAGTCAATTTTGAATCTTGATGGAGTTCTAGACGTGTGTATAATTTAACCATAATAATTACAGTTTGCTGAGCTAACCATGGTGATTATAATCCAATAAACTACACCATTGCTGTGTGTGGGTGTTGCTTCATCACTTGGTGGCATTTCTCTCTGTCTTGAATATATATTGTTTACTTTAATATTCAATTTGATCCCAACCCTGCAGCATATAATGTTCACATAACAAAGACTTGTCTTCACAACTACGCTTGTGGTTCTCAATTTCTATTTCCTCTGCCCTCTTGCTTTTTCTCTTGCTTCTGATTTCTCTGCTAGTTGTGGTTTGCAGTATATTTGGCCCTAGTTTAGTCCTTCTGGTTTCAAAGGAAGGACAAGAGGCAGCATGGGCAGAAACATACAAGAAAAGGACATCATGAATGGCAAACTTAAGGTACATGATCTTCTGTTTGTGATCCCAGAAAGCAAAAGTTTCCTCTGTAACTTACTTTAAATTTACTGCTGAAATTTTGATCTGTAAATTTCCACTTTGCTACTGTTTAGGACATAGAAAATGGTGAAATCCAAGAACTGGCTTCTGGTTCTTTACCAAAATCACCAACTCAAGATGGAAGTCCAAAGAAAGATGGAAGGCCAAGCAGCATGGTGATCAAGGTCAGTTAATCCAATTCTAAGACTAATTGGTACAATATCTTTGATGGGTTTCCACCAAATTTTCATATTGATTTAGTTTTCTGTTAAAACTTGTTTGATTTACAGAAGGCACATACTATGTTTCCTGCTCACTTGATAGCAGAAGCCATATCCTCACTCAGAGGCCTTGATCTAAGATGGTCAGGTCCAATAACACCAAGTGAGATGCTTTATGTTCAGCAATACATCTTCGCAAAGTACCCACAATACTGCAATGGTCTAGTGGAAGAGGTGGAAAAACTAGAAATTGATAATCTTTCCATCAATGAAGAATCTTCAGCAACAACACCCCAAGATAAGCTCAAGTCACCCAAGAGTGTGACACCAAAAGAACTTTCCCCATTTAGCACTACTCACTCTGATCTTGACAGGACCCAAATGGAGCCTTCAAGACTGCTTGATATCCTGACCAAGAAATCTTCATTCCAAGGCAATTTTGTCTCCATTCCTGAGGTCCAAGCTAGCAACAGAGCCTTGAAGCAATGTGGGTTGCAAGAGGAGGACTATTTAGTCCTGTTCATGGCCAATTACAAAGATGCTATGGTGATGATTGGTGAGAGTTACCCTTTCTTCAGAGGAAATTACTATATGACCATTGTCAGTGAAGAGACTGATGCCATAAGGGAATTTGCCTCCAACAAAGAATCAAGGATTATATCAGCACCGGAAACTTGGTTGGATTTGAGGATCAAAGGATCACAACTTAGCCAGTACTTCAGAAGAAAGTGCAAGCACAGTCCAAAGGGACTGTTTTCCTATCCAGCCACTGTGAATGGGACTAAATACTCCATGCATTGGATCTCAGAAGCACACAGAAACTCATGGCATGTTTTGCTTGATGCAACTGGTTTGGTTTTGGGGGAGGATCGGTTGACGCTTGCTCTGTACCGCCCTGATTTTGTTCTATGCACCCTTAACAATACACACACCCAGCCATCCAGCATCACTTGCCTCTTGGTTAGGAGAAAAACATTTGATACTATGGCACATGCAGCCTAGCTTGGCTTCCTCATATTGCTTCTACTTTACTGATAATAAATGTGTTACTTTTTTTTCTTCTTCTTATTATTTATGTGAACTCTATTTGCCTCCTGGTTATGGGATTGTATTTGTTCCTGTTCTAAATGGAGCATGTTTGTGCAAATATTCTCACGAGAGAATATCTGCTTAAAGATCCTTCGTTCTTTACCCTTTGAACTTCTTTCTCTCTCTTCCTCAATCCATGTAAAATCAAACTTGAGTAAAAGACCACACCTGAGGGGTGTTGGCCAAAGGCCCTCTAATGCTTAAGTTAGTTTGATTGTATCTAGGAGAAATAATAGCTAAAAAAGAGTACGGAGTTTTCTCTAGGGTGAGAATCGGGTGGCTAGAGTCGTATGTGATGGCCGGAGCCGTGATGGGAAAATATGGAGAGAGGGGCGGTGGTGAGAGAGCGAGAGGGGCGGTGGCGAGAGAGAGTGTAGGGTTTTTTGAGTAGAAATTGGATTTCGAATTACCTTGTGTGTTGAATGTAGTCATGTATTTATAAGGCTCTAGTCATCTAGGGTTTCCAATTTGTCTAATTTTTTGTAACGATGATCTATGAACTTAAAAAATAAATTGTTTGGATCTTTAAAAAAAATTTAGTAAGGGACCCTAAATGGTGTCCTTTAAATAAAATTATTAGATGAATCCTTCAATAGAAATGGACTATATATATACAAGGGGCGGATCCGTGGCACTATGTTTTTGACACAATTTTATAACCTTTGGATGCAAGCACTTTCAACGGTTAAGATTACATGTGATTTCACTATTTAACTTACAATTAATGAATAATAAAATATTAAGAGATTTTCTATTTAAACCCCGCATTTCTCTTTGTTCACCCCAATACTTAAACCATTAAGCTATAAGTTTTATTATTATGTAAAAAGACAAAAAAGGTCATCCAACTTAATAATTAACCCTAGTACATCTATACACACACACCCCACCACTCTTCATATTAAGTTTTATAAACCTTTTTCCAACTTCCTGTTTACAAACTCACTCACTCTCTCTCTCTCTCTCTCTCTCTCTCTCTCTCAAGTTCTCAACTCAACAATATCCAAGTGTTAGAATTCCAGTTACAGTTCTTGGAGAGAAGTAAAGATGTTCTCTTTCTCTAGAAAGTATTAAATTTCAGATTTGGGGTTTCATTTGTTTGTGTTTTTTTTTGCTGGGAACAAAGAAAATTGTGGGGTTTAAATAGAAAATCTATTTTAGTTCTTATTTTTTTCATTTTTGGGTGTATTTAAGGGTAGTTTGGGAAGATAGTGGAGTTTTCTTAGAAATTGAGAAAATTTAAATTAAAAGTTGGGTAAACTCCCCACTTTTATAATTTTTTGTTGTTGTCAAACTCCCCACTTTTCTAGGTAACTTTAAAGTGCCAATAAAAATCACTCTCTCTCCTCAATAAAATTCGCAACAATCTACACATGGAAAGTCTTGGAGCACCGACAACGGGTTTATAAGCTTTGTCATGTTTCTGCTCTCAATTGCTTGAGAACAAGCAAAGCAATATTAAGTCTAAAGATATATGCTTTGTATTCGTGGCCGTGAATGGGTTTATGAGGTTCCCTTTTTCTTCGGCTTTTTCCTTAGACTTCTTTGGCTGGGGCTCTAATAGTTTGTTCAATTATCCTCGGTTTGGACTGGTATAAAAATAAAAATAATCATCTTTGTTTTGTTTTTGCTATGATTTCCTCTTTATGTTGTATCTACTCGCCAAAATCTCATCCCCAATCGCAGTGATCACTAATGGGAAACCTATAATCTAAGATGTACATATTAAAAAGATTCACATAGCATTTTAGTTTTGTAAAAATGGGCTTCTCTAAATCATTTCTCAGGATTTAACGTAATCATCATTTTAATTTGGAAGCATTTGAAGACAAATCTTATACATGCATTCATGATGCATGTGAAGATTCATGTAAAGTCTGATAAAATTTTGCGAACACTCTTCCTTATAAAAACTTTGTCCTACTTTCCTTTTGTTTCAAGTTTGAGTATTTTTCGGCGGATAGTTTCAAGTTTGGATTGCAGATGAAAAAGGAGGGTAAGGAGAATGTGAAAAGGAAAAAATTACCCCATAAAGGCATAGTGGGAAATAAATGATTTTTCATCTCACAATTGCAATTTTCTTATGGGAGAATGTGAAAATATAAATGAAGAGAGAGAAAATAGAGTGGTGAATTTAATTAAAATTAATTTTAGTTTATAATAATTTTAAAAAGAAAGAATTAGTTTAGATTTAATCTCATCCATTGATAGTGGGTTAATCTAAAGATGTGAAATTTGTGTCAAAAACATAGTGCTACGGATCCCCATATATATATATATATATCTTCTTCTTGAAGAAATAAAATATCAATCACAATTATTCAATCATGTGTTTAAGTCATCTGATATGAAAACAAACACCAAATTCTTCTTCGTTTAGGCTTCTATGATGTTCCACAACACTGTGCACCCACGACTTTTTAGCTCTCGTATTCAAAACGACTTCCATGAAGCCCAAAAAAACACTATTTTGTTGTACCCCGACCAATTATACTATGACACACGTGATAACACTTTCACGTGACATAGTATTATTTGTTGGGATACTGCAACTAAGCTTTTTTTTATCCCCCTAAGTAGTAAAGATTTTTAATTTTGTATCAGTTAAAAAAGCACTATGGCCCCATGTGGTTCATGGGAAATGAGGCTTGGGGACGGGAAATTAATTGCTTTCTCATGTTTGGTAAGTCCATGCATGAGAAATTGTATGGGAAAGTAAGGGGAAAGTGAAGTCCTCTTCTCAACTTGGGTTTTGTTTTTCCTCATCATGGGAAAGTTTGGGAAAATGAGCAAACATTCAATGCACATTTTTCATGACTATTTTGTCCCCATTAACTATTTAGAATTATAATGTATCATTAAATGCATTTTTTTAATATTTGATTTAATATGAGTATAACTAGAAAATTATACAAACTTTGTTATTCATTCATACTCAAAACAAACATGGGAGATGAAATAAAGTGAAATCTCCCAATTACTTTCCCGGCATTACCAAACGTGGGAAAAGATTCTTCCATTTCCCATCTCTTGAGAAATGAGAAATGACATGGGAAGTAATTTCTCCTTAAATTTGTTCCGTGAACTAAACGGGACTACAATTTGTATTCCTATTCCTAGTGGGGTAATGAGAATGATTAGTTTTGACGAGATCATTAAAAGTAACAACGAATGTCAAATTACACCACCCCACTAGTACATAGCTGGGCTCAAATTGACCAAGTTCCGCTTTGGGGCAGGGCACTGTTGGGCCTAACAAAGCCTAACCTTCAAGACATTTAACCATTCCAAATTAGGATTTTTCATCATTTCAGTTAGGCCGTCGTATCAACATGTATGTAGTCCATAAATTTTGTACATGGCACATATATTTATCAACTCTTTTGTATCTCTTAAATAAAAAAATAAAAAACAAAACTATTTTGTAATGTTATATCAACTTTATTATAACGTAAACATTAATAATACTGCTTGATTGGTGTAACAAGAGGATAATACACGTTCCAATTCAACCCCTAAAGCCTTAAGAGCATCCTGCAAAAGTCCAACTCACTAATCTCCATGATTCTGTTCACAAGTCAATTATTCTCCAGTATCATAATTAAAATTATCTTCCTTTTCGCCGAATCTTACCCTTACACCCCGCTACGAATCATTTCATTCAGAGTAGTATGGTTATGAATGAACTAACTGTCCATTATCATACTGTAAACCGCTTTATAATTTTTATAATAAAAAAAGGTAAAATAAAAGAAAAACAATTGAGCACCCAATACTGTAAACAGTTTTGCCCGCGCCGCGTGTTAGCAAAAGCGTTCGCCGTCCACTTCCGTCGCGTTGGCGGCGGAGGGAATCTCAAAGTGCCAGAGCCTCCCCACGGCCTTAACCAAGTACTTCTTGCACAGGAACTCCTCCGCATACACCTTCTCCACCCTCCGATTCACATCGTGCAGGAACACGTGCGTCACACCAGATCCCTGCCTCCTCCTCGCCATCACAGCTGCCGAGAATATAGCAGCCATCCGCCCCGGCGCCTCCGGGAAATACCCGCGCGGCGCGTCGATCATGATCAGGTCCCATTCCCTCTCGTACACCTCGTCCGGCAGGTTGTTCAGCGCCAGCCTGCACTGCGCGTTGCCACGCAGGACCGCCTCGGATGGAGAACACGACGGTTCAGATCGGTACGAGGATAGGAGACCGTTCGCTTCCTTGAGGTGCGTGCGGTAGCGCACCGTCTGCGCCCGCAGATGCGGCGCGTCCTTGAGGACGGTCTGGACCCACTTGGGGTCCTCCTCCAGGAACAGCGTGGTGCCGCGTGGATTGAACGACGCCCACATTTGCGAGTCGAAGCCGAGACCGAACACGAGGAAGTTGCACGGCGCGCTAGCCTTGAGGACCTCGAAGGAGACGCCGATCTCGCCGCGCGATTGCTGCGGGGTCTGGCGCGACGTGGCGTAGTGGAGAATGGCTTGGAGCTGGATCCCCGTAGGCGAGTAGTTCTCGTCTACGGCGCCGAGAAATGTGGGGCCCGCCAGCGAGCAAAGCATGGAGGTCCCCACTCGGCTGAAACTGGAGATGACGAGCCCGACGCCGATGAGGATAAGCAAAACCACGGCGAGGAACCCGTGCCTGTCCGACAAAGAACTGCGAACCTTCATGTTTCAAACTATATTATCAATAACTTTTATAATTAAAAAAAAATAAAGGAAAGGAAAATGTGTCGAATAATGTAAATAAACTGGAATTTAGGATTTGGCGATTGAGGAGGGGGTTTGGGTTATGAACTTATGATATATAAAGTTGGAGAATGGGAATGAGGGACTCGTAGAGAGGAGGCAAAGGTTAATTTAGACAAAGATTTTGAAAGTAACAACACCTCAGCACTACATTAGTTAAATATTAGCGAGGGAGTGGGTAATACGATATGCACGTTTTCGCCGTAAATCATGTCTTGTCTGGTCTGGCGTTGGATTGGGTGCGCAAAAGTTGACGAAGCTTTGATATTTTTCCATCATCAGTTTTGAAATGGCAACTCAGAAATGGGCACGTGGACTTGCTTTATCCGAACCCCGTACTGTGCTGCTATTACTGCAAGTATGGTTCAAATTCAGGCGAAGGCGTACGGATTTTGGTGGGAATTTTTCCTTAAAATGTGGAAGGGATTTAATTTTAGATACTGTGGCTTGGTATTGCCCATTCAATTCATGATGTTGCTTCAATTTCAAAATTTATTGTGTTGTTTGAGGCCAAATATCAATTTGCAGGTGAAAAGAGATGAGTGTGGCAGAGGATAAGGATTTCATACCATTAGAAAGGAATATATATATATATATATATGCATTTACCAAATAAAGTAGAAAAGGAAGGTGGTTTTCAGACCCAAAAGAATGGAAGGTGGTTTTCAGATAATTTGATATGTAACAAGACTCGACCCAAGTTCTATTCCGAAGTCAAAGTCCAATCCAATATTTTCAGGGCCGGCCCATAAAACTACCACAGTACTTATAAGCCCTCCAATTGCGTATTGTGAAATCAAATTGTCGCTATCCCCAAAGCGATGAAATGGTAGTGTCCTACAAAAATCTAACACCAACGTTGTACCATCAAAAACAAGTGTCGGTGTTCGTTATTGTTAGGTTATTAGTATATGGTGATTCATTCATTATTGAAACTAGTTTTTAATTATTATTACTTTCCATTTGGGGACAAACACTCAACAAATTAAATCAAGTATTTAGTTTACCATGAGTTATGACTTTTTCCCTAAAAGACGGTAAACGACTTTTCTATGGTACAAATAGATATGTTTCGACTTTCAAATGTGAAAATGCCCAAATTTAGGTTGAGTTTTGATGGGGGTCTGGGCCCGTGAATTACAATCAATAGTTGTTGTCGTATGGCCTTATTCACAAGACCAGGTCACAATCTGAGCCGTTGATTGCGAAAACCAGCTCGCGATAAGGAGAAAACTCCAACCATCTTATCTTCCTAAATCTCGCACGTCACGGAGCCGCCACGTGGCCAATGGGCACGACACCTGTGTGCGCTACAGCTCAACTTCCTTTTGTTTTTGTTTTTTGTTTTTGATGAAACAGCTCAACTTCCTTCATTAAAAGCAAAGCTCATCTCTTCCGTCTCTCTTTTTCCCTCATTTATACAAATACAATTACACAAACCCAACAACAACAGCAGCTGCATGCATTGCAGAGGCTTTAATTGCTACCCCAACCACCCCGACGGGCCTCCATTTAAATCCCCATAAAGACAGCCTCCTTCCATGATGCTGATGTGTACGTCCCAAATTCAAAGCGCACAACACCCATCTCTCCTCCTTCAATAAATTAAAGGCTAAATAGAGTCGAAGTCTGTCCAAACCCTCCATACATTTTCGTTTTCCCTTCTTTATATCCTACCTTCTAAATTTCATATCAAGCTTGCTAGTTGAAGAAGATGATGAGGAAGATGTTGGTGGTGGCGTTGCTTTTGATCGTTGGTTCGGTGAGTGAGGCGAGTGCGGCCGCGACTGTGGCGCAGAAGTGCAGCAACCAGTTTCAGAAGGTGGCGGTGTGCCTGAACTACGTGACGGGGAAGGCGGACACGCCGACGAAGGAGTGCTGTGAGTCGGTGAAGGGTATAAGGGACAGCGAGCCGGAGTGCTTGTGCTACGTCATGCAGCAGGCCAACAGCGGCAGCGACGAGATCAAGAAGATGGGGATCCAGGTGGCCAAGTTGCTTCAGCTCCCCACTGCATGCAGCTTGAAAAACGCCAGCGCCAGCGACTGTCCTAGTGAGTACACGTCCCCTCTCTCTCTCTCTCTCCCCTCTTCATTTGTGACTGAAGACGGTGTCGTTTTCCGTTTTAAGGTTAAAATAATTAATGTTCTAGTTCTAGTTTAGAGACCATAACTAAGGACAGAAGAAGTGCTTAATTATAGTTTTAAGATGCATGCAACCCTAACTAATCGGAAGTTAATTTATACTTAGTAATTACTGTTACGTGGGTTTATTTAGATTATTTGTGTTGAGTTTTAATATGCTGATGTGGATAGATTAGTTGGTGTGAAAAACCATTTTAAGTGTAGGTACGAAAGTGCGAAAATATACATAAATGTCTTACGAGAAGAAAGAGAATAAAATTTTAGAAAAAAATAAAAAAAGAAAAGGAAAAAGAAAAAGACATCATCAAGGTAACAAAACTAAGTGACATGATAATTAATAGTAAAATTGGGTAGTAATAAAATATTTTGTATATTATATGCTCAACAGTCCTTTCAAAATTTTGGACAAAATATATTTTTGCAGATCACCCGGGTTAAAAATATAGCCTTCACTTTTCCTTTGAGGTCATTGTCAAGTATTGAGTTTCTTTTTCCTTTTCTTTATATTTTTTGGGGTAAGAAAAAAATTGCGACCAAAGTATAGAATCTTAAAACATGTTTTCATTGATGTCTAGCCGAGCTGCATGGGCAGGCAATTGACAGCTGCGGCTCAGATTAACTCACATCACACCCCAACGTGTCCTAAATTGCCCCACCTAGCCACTGCCCCAACCCCAACCCCCAACCCCCAACCAAAAAGATGGATCACATTGACACCTAGCTAGCATGTACCATTATTAAAGAGAGATTTGAAAATGCCGACCTAAAGTTAAAAGAATCCTCGAAGGTCGCATGGTCTCTCTAGGGTAATGTTAGGGATACCACATTATTTACTACCTTTCTAATAGAGATGAAATCTACCCATATAATGGGTTATGAGTCCTACCTCTAGTAGAAAGCCGGTGCACAATATGGTACATAAATGTGGTATGTTGATTTGATTAGGGTTACTGCACTAACATATATGTATGTAGATGAATGATTGAAATATACGATAGGAAATAGGTTTCCCTTGTATTGGTTATAATGTCAACTTTTTACCCTGCAATAGAATCACCTCATTTTATTGATGTGTGGTCACTATCCTTGTCTAGGTGCATTAATGTTCTACAATTCAATGTGCTAAATATTTTGATAGATGCATCTTTAATTGAAGTTCCACATGCTAAGCACAGCTAATTGACTTTGCATTGTGCTGTTGTTTTTTTAAATCACCAGAGCTTCTAGGCATACCTGCTGGCTCACCAGAGGCTGCTATCTTCAATAATAATGCTTCATCAACGGCCACTCCTTCTGCACCCGCCGGAAAATCAGCACCGGTGAAGACCGGCGACTCTAATGGAATTACCAAGCCCGGACCCCACCATGCCGGTCTGATGGCAACGGCTGTGGCCATCATTTTCTTTACATTCCCTGTTGTTGGATCAATCTCTAATCTCTTTGTTTAAGCATATGAGAGTGTGAAGGTCCTCTGCTGAGGGGTAGTGGAGTATTCCAAGTCCTTTAATTATTGGTTGTTTTTGCGCAATCTTAGCACTCTTTTTAACATTTGATTGCCTTTGAGGCAATGTGTTGTTTCCTTGACTTGGTCTCTGTGTTTCATCTTGGTCAGCTTGATGCCAAGCGTTTCATGTTCGAATTTTAGCATATAATTCTTGAGAATGTTCAGTATTTCAGTATTCCCTGCTCATATTCTTCCTAAAGTTTGAACAAGTACAACAAAAACTTTGTAAGAACCCATATTCATTGAATATCTCATTTCTAATTTGACATGAAAAGTCAATAATTGAAACCAATTACAACTCAAAACTATTACTCACGAGCCGGGCCCCCGGGGGTTAGATTTCATGGATATTAAATTAAAAGTCAGAACAGTAAATGGTGAAAGGGTTTTTTGCAAATCCAAAAAATCGAATCGTTTCCTCGAGTTTCTCTACCGGGTTCTTGTTACTATTGCACTAGTGCCATTAATGCGCACTCATGCAGTCAAAGTCAACACTCAACAGGGCTGCTACCATATCAGCCCAGTACACACATCTGAGCACTAGCATTTATTGGTTTAGGGTAAATTGGCTAAGAGGCTGTGCTGGCTTGCAAGAGTGGAAGTGCTCTAAAGAGATAGAAAATGGAAAATTCATTTCCTATGTTTAGTAATATTGGGAAAGTAATCAGAAAATACCGTTTTATTTCATTTTTCATGTTTGGTTTGTGTAAGAATGTAAAATAAAGTTTGTTTAATTTTTCAATTAACTCATATGAAATAAAAAAAGAATACATTTAATGCTATATTGGAATTTTAAATTGTTAATGGCACCAAATGGTCATGAAAAATATACATTTAATGCTAGCTCATTTTCCCCAAGTTTCCCATGTGAAGGGAAAATGAAACCCAAAGGGGGAGGAAGGTTACATTCTCCCCCTCACCCCTTATTTTCCCGTGTTATAGGGTTTAGGCAATCATTTCCTATGCCTCGACTTACAAGACATGAGAAAACAATTGATTTCTCATCCCTAAGCCTTTTTTCCCATGAACTAAACCCAATTTTAGTAAAAAAATTTAACTCAGCCTGAAATGCCAAAAATTCAATTATTTTATTATATTTTTAAAAGCAAATGGAGCCCATAAAATGCATAATTTTTTTAAATATAGTAAATAATAGTGGGATCCGTCCATGACTAAAAATATATTAAAAGAATATTTGACATCAAATTTTTTGATATGTTATTTTTTACATATATTTTCCAACCTTCAAATCTTACATAAATTTGACTACTTGGTTAAATTAACTTTATATATATATTTTAATCATTTCATGTCCACGTGGTAATTTAATATTAAATACTCTAAAGTGGTAAGTTTGCCTTTTTGTACAAAAGTTCGGTTGGCGCATATATATAATGCTTCTAATAGAACGTAGCTATTTATATTTAGAGATATTTAGTGATATACCCATTCTTAGCACTAATATTATAGATAAACCCTCCATCATTGAATTTCTATAAACAAACCCAAAAAAAACCCCAAAAATGATAGTTGGCCTTATTAGATTTAATATTGATTATTAAATTACTTTAATGCCCTATTGAGTGCTTTGGGTATTTTTATAAGATTTTGAGGTTGGGCTTGTTTTAAGAAATTTATGGTAGTTTTGTAATTTATAAGAAGTTAAAGCCTCTTTGTTATGTTGTAAATGGATTTTGGGTGTGTTTATAAAGTTCATTTCATATGGGATATTTTTGTAATTTAGGCCCCCATATTGGGTATATTAGTGAATCTCCCTTATATTTACATGTGATTAGAGATATATATCATTTAATTTTTTAATGATTTTTTCTTTTCTTTTCATATGTATTGTGATTTGGAGGAATGAAAAAGGGCTCCAAAAGATGCTACATGTATATGACCACAAAAAAAAGATGCTACATGTTTAAGTGGACGCGTTGCTCTTTTTCAATGGTCATCCTAGTCAGTTTCATCTGGACCGTCCATCATAGCGGGACCCACAATCCAACACGTAATAACGCGAAACGGTGCGCGTAGAGAAACCCTCACAATATCTTTGTCGAGAGTCCCCAACGCCACCGTCGTTTCTGTTGTAGGGTAAACTGCGTTCTCCTGGCACTCGAATCCGAATCAAATATCTCGCCGCCGATATGTCTCAGGTAATCATCTTCCATTTCGTTCAATTTATCGAGCTTCTCCTCTCCTCTCAACCCCTCTCTTTTTTACATTGGGGATTTCCCCAAATCACTGCGACGAAGCCGTAGTTAGGGTTTTCAGTGCACCGGACGAAGTTGGTTTCTTTAAGCTTCGTATTTCTTGGTGTTCAGGTTGACAACAGAAATTCTTCAGCAGCCAAGCGTGCTAGAACCGATGGTATGCATTTTTAAAATTTTAATTTTAATTTTTTGTGCATTGAGGTCCCTTTGATTCGGCTTTGCTGTTGGTATTATAATTTTTGCCTGTGAGCCTCAAAGTTTATGTAAGTAGAAGATCTGGAATGTATATATGCGTGTATTGCTTCCTTATGATTTGAATGTGTATTTTAAGGATTTAGTCCATGTGTATAATTTTCGATGTTATGATTTTGGAGTTCATTATTCTTATATGTGGTGTTTGTAGGTAGTAGAAGGGAAGATGATTGGACCTGCCCTAGCTGTGGAAATGTTAATTTTTCCTTTAGAACTACTTGCAATATGCGTAATTGCACTCAGCCAAGGCCAGCGGATCATAACTCAGTAAGAGTCCGACCACAACTGTCCTAAACACTGATGTTACTTTGCTGAGTGTGATGGTTACAATACATTTTTTTGTTAATTTTGGTTGACATGTTAGTATCCCCTTTTTATTTCGAGGGTTATGAATGTGATGGTTTCAAGATTTGTATATTATGTTTAGAGGAATTCTATTATATATAGATATCAAGATCAAGTTTTGATCAAGTTTTGTACTTTTTCAGAAATCTGCTGCTAAGCCTTTCCAAGCCCCACAAGGTTACTCATCTGCTGCTCCCTATGTGGGTTCTGCTGCACCCTCTTCAATGTATCTTGGTGTCCCACCATATGGTTCCTCTCTCTTCAATGGATCATCTATTCCACCCTATGATGTTCCATTTTCTGGGGGATCAGCATATCATTACAACTACGGCAGCCGCCTGTCTACAGGCAGCCCCTACAGACCTCTGCATTTGTCTGGACCAACACCTTATTCTAGCGGATCCATGATTGGAAATGGTATGCTTTGTTCATTTATCCCTTTGTGATGATTCTGATTTTTTTTCCTTGCTGGGGTTATGGATATATTAGTACGTTGAATCTTTTCTTATTAATTTTTTCCCATTTACAGTGCTGTGATATTCCCATGTTGCTGTAACCTTGCTTGTGTTGGTTCCATTTAGGTTTTTAGTTTCTTATGATTCTTCATTCGTTATTCTCTAATCTTGCAGGTGGAATGTATGGTATGCCCCCTATGATGGAACGGTATGGCCTAGGTCTGCCCATGGGCCCTGGTCCTATGGTATGTACAAAAGTCTACTGTTATTGTTAGAATTGGGTACTAGCTCGTATGCATTTGCTTTTGGATTTTCATGCTCCATATTTAGGCATCGTCAAGCCCTGGAACAATTTGTTGATGTATAGTTTCCATTGCTATTTTATAATGCCATCCATCCTTTTACTATATTTGGTATTCTCTGGGATCCGAAAATTTTCCTATATCATCCTTCCAGAGTCCACAGGATCCATAATTTTTGTGTGAAATCTTGGATGTTGTACAATTTATGTATAATTTTCTTGTGCAGGGGCCAAGGCCAGGATTCTATACAGATGATAAATCTCAAAAGAAGGGCGCAGGTTAGTAATTTAGTCTTCCTGTGAACATCAAATCATTTTGGACATCATGGAAAACTTAAGTTAAATGATTATTGATTGTTCAATTTTATTGCACATTTAGATGCTACACGTGATAATGATTGGACATGCCCAAAATGTGGAAACATCAACTTCTCATTTAGAACTGTTTGCAACATGAGGAAGTGCAATACCCCAAAGCCTGGATCTCAGGTCTCTCTCTCTCTCTCTCTCTCTCTCTCTCTCTCTCTCTCTCTCTCTCTATACATATGCATATGTGTAAGTCTTCCTTTCTTTCTGTATGTTTTATTTATATGTCTTTCTTGCAAGTCTCCCCTTCTTTTCTGTATGTTTTATTTAAATGTCTTTCTTGCGGATGAAATTTTCTATATGTTATGATTTTTCTGACATGCGATGTATTCTCTTGTAAAGCAGGCTGCAAAGAATGACAAAAATTCTAGTAAGTTGATCCCATGCCTCATTTTCACCTAATTGATGGCTTTTTCCTCGTTTGTTCTTCAATCTTTGAACTTTTTTGTCCTCGTGTTTAACTTCAATAACAATTTTGGTTTCCAGAGCAAAAAATGCCAGAAGGTAGCTGGAAGTGTGAGAAATGTAATAACATAAACTATCCATTCAGAACAAAGTGTAACAGACAGAACTGTGGAGCAGACAAACCAGCAGAGTCAAAGAAGTCCCCTTCACCTGCCCAGGATGAAAATGATCAGGTTTGTTGTATTAGACATTTGCTCTGGATCTCTATTGGTTGTTTGGAATCATCATTGTTTTTGGTGATTTGTGTACACGCTACAACCTTGATATGCATAATATTTTCTGAAATATATGTGTTAATGGATCAATTTCAAAGGTTTCCTTCTATGCTTGATTTGTTTTTTCACTGAAGATGGATTTTGATTCTAGCTCTTTAATTTTCTTTATTTCCAGTGCACCGGTTAATTTATAATTGTCTACTGTTCCAGTGAGTACTAGGACATATTTGAGGGTTGAGAAGGTCCAGAGTTGTCATCCAGCATTGCTCAATATGGGTGTCTGAAAGTCAGTCTTGTCGTCGTCATGTTGCAGCGGTTATCGAGTTACTCTACCTTTTCATGATCTGTGTCAAGTTGTATTAACTGGTATGGTATTTGTGGTCTTTGTGGATCATACAATGCATTTTGTGTCAGCCAGTACCTTCTGGCAAAGATTTTACAGGTTGGTTCTGGTTTCTATGAGTTAGACCCTTTACTTTTGGAATCAACTCATCTATTCTGGTGGGTATGTTACCGCGTAAGATATGTTACCAGTTGGCTAAAAAGGTTACTGTAGTCTGCTTTTTTTTCTTTTTTTCTTTCTGGTTTTCATATGATGTCAAATTGTCTCTATGTCATTGAAGTATCTATGATTTAACAGATGCTTCTCTTAGAAGCATATGAAGCCCCCAGGTTTGGTTGATTAGGTCTCATGGTGTTAGAACTGGGGATAGAAGGTTTGTTGATTGTAAGGGGTGAGCATGTAGTTCTTTTTTGAGTTGCCCATTCCTCGTCCTGGTAGTTTCACATCATTAGTCGTCATTAGTCTTGTGGCCTTCAAATTAACGTGACCCGAAAGAAGTCAACAGGAGGCATTTTGCTTGTCTTTCTGGGGAGGTAGCATTAGATTTCATGCCCTACTTGTCAGGCTGTTGAGTGCCCTATTATACATCTTTCCCTGTGTTTGTTGCCTCGACAAAATATAGATTTCTCAAATACAACAAAGAAATTGGGTCCTTATTGCGTATGGGTCTTCCTTTTGGTGCAAGTCTGAAGATTCTGAGTGAAATTTGATTAATTTGAGCATACCGGATCATTTTCAAAAAAGAAGAGATATAAATTTCCTGGTTTTGGTTTATCAAAATATGTTGCATCTTTGTGCTATGGAGGCATTGGTTCTTGCTACATATACTTTAAGTTTCTGGCCACGCAATATTAGGGATTAGGTGATTCTATTCACAGTTAATAACACCTAGTTATTCCTCACATTCGGATTTCAGATCTAGTTCTTCCCCACTTAACATACTCTAATGACATTGTTATTATATCTTTTTGAACTTAAAATGAACCAAGCCGATTTCTTCGCAATTTTTTTATAGTTACTTTTACAAAAGAATTTGAGGTATTTTTTCCTTTTAACAATATAGGATAGCGCTGGGCACAATATTGTTTCTCTTTCTTTTTGGGGTTTAATAGCATAATGGCCGGGAGGAGATATTACATGTAACGGAGATATAGAGACATACTGGGATATATTCCAGGGACAGGTAAACGTTTTCTCATGGCGGTGAGCTCATTTTTACAATTTACATTTACTATTTTCCACACAAGGAGTTGTTGGAGTTGGTTCTTGGAAGACGAAGTTGCAGACTTGACAGAAGGTGTGGGCAGACGCTGGTGGCTGCCTTAGCATGAGTCGGCGCCACATAGAGAACAGCACGGCTGTGCACTGCTAATAAGAACCTTGTGGCCAGAAATCAGTTTTGTTTTAGTATTGCATTAGCTTAGCTTCCTGGTTTTCTATGTTGGATACCCATTTTGTAAAGTATTTTGTCAAAACCGCTGTTTATCAGAAGAATAAATAATACATGCACATTAAAATGGTCTTCTTGGCAAGAGATTTATGCATATGCATCGCCCCCACTCTATGATCGGAAAAATAAATTTCGACACAGATTCTTTCCCTTTGATGTTTAACTTGCAAGCAACCTGAGCCATATGGGTCATCCATCGCCCATCAATTTGATGTACCAGTAGTCAGAACAAATCAAAACGAGGAAGGTCCAATGTTCCTCCATATAACATTCTGGGTCAGGCGGAGTATAAGAAAAAAATTCCACATAATGTAAAGCAAAGCAGTGCTGAGTTCCAAATTATTTATGACATAACATGGTACATCTAAATTACACAGCTCGTGAATTCGCAACCACACAACGCAGGATCTGAAACCTTGTCGGTTGTAAAACCAAAGCAGTGCTGAGTTCCTGGGAGACAATGACCACACAATAACATTGTTATCAGTGGCTCCGCTATCAGTGTACTTGTTTCTTTTTCTTAGACAAAATGTATATAGGCTATAGCTACGGGTCATAACTTGCAAAATCATCAACGTATAGGTGTCGAAAAAACCCAACGGCCACGGAAACTATAATCTAGATATTTCGGTTTGAATGTGGACGTGCAAATCTTAGTTATTAACATTAATAGGTACTACCGGAGATCAGATGGGCAATGCAGAAACAAACTCTGGTGAAGGAACTAACCTTGATAAGGGTGACATTTATATGGAAAAAAGAAGAGTCTTTTGGGTCGAATTTAATTGAAATGGTTGGGTTGATAACCAAACTCATAGGGCCCTTTGAACTGATGAAGATCCTGATGGAAGTGGTTGCTGCCATTACTGTGTGAGTGGGAGACATGTGCTTCTTGGGTATTAAGGGATAGATGTTGAGTTTGCCAGTACTCTGATGAGACAGGCAAACCTTGGGTCATTGCTTGCATCCCAGGTTGAGGGATGTTCTGATAATTTTGGTTGGTATTATTATCAAGTGCAACAGGTTTCGCCTCGCCTGAAACCCAAGAACTCGTTGACAGAAGAGAGAGAGCACGATGAAAATCCTGTGTCGCACCTAGGTTGAAAGAGATCATAGATTCTTCAGCACCTGCAAACATCACCAAATAAAAGTTCCATGACCTGTTAATAGATACAAACGATCTATGAACTATGAATCTACAATTATCTGTGATCCACTTAAATTGGGATTAGCAAACGGGAGCACTGGTTTGCAATGTTCAAGCAATGTTTTCATTTGGCTTTTTGGTGACCATGGAGAATCCAGACATTTCTTATGTTGAAAAACAAACAAATGTTAAGACAGGATTGAGGGTAAAAATGACTGGTTCATGTCAGGCAGTTGGACTAACAAATAGCAAATGATAAAAATTTGATTTATCATGATTAATAAGACACTCTGAAGTATAACAGACCTCGGTTGAGAACCTCAGCGGCAGTGCCCTTCGAAGGTGACAGCCTACTGGAATCATGATACAGCATTGTTATTGAACTTGGAATTCCATTGTTGGCCAAATTCAACTGCCCGCCAGTGCCTCCTCCTTTTGCAGGCTTTGGAAAATATTCTTTCGTTTGTCCAAACTTGAAGCTGCATGCGCCATCCCATGTTAAATTTGAGGGATGCCTTGTGTAAACACTTGGGGCTTGGTCCAAAACAAGGCTCATCTGTTGCCTCTCATCTGCATAGTAAGCAAAATCAGCACAAATTTAACAGATAACTATGGTATAACAACAATATTATTAATGACCCTAACAGTATTTGGTCTCTTGAATGATGCTTCATATGGATCTGTACTAAATAACTCAATTACAAATTAAAGAATATACAAAAGAAACACAACATGTGACCGGTCAAGAAGTTGAATCTCCATATGAGGCCTGTCAGTTTCATTCATTTTCCCAGGAAAAAGAATAAACCTTTGGCATTATTTCCGCAAAGGTTTCACTTATTCATATTTTGATTTGGTCAAAGCTCAAGCTCAAGAAGTGCGAGATAAATTAGGTAAGCCTCATTTTCATTACTAACTTGAACTAAACCCAAATTAATTATTAGCTGGGAGAATTAACCCTGGTATGCTTATTTGCATTCTTGAATACTCTAAAACAATTATCAAAACATGCTGTTTAAATAAAAAACAGTTAGCTCCATCCTACATCATGATTTGATTTATGTCAGTAAGAAGCATGAAGAACAAGAATTTCAGTATGAGTTTAAAACCTGTACTGAACAGTGATGAGGACAGCCTTGTTGGATTTCTCAGTGCTTCTGTCTGTGGCTTGCGGCGCCTTGCATTGTGATCAGAAAGTCGCCTGCGACAGCTTCGCTTCTTTTCATCAAATTCAGAAAGGCCATGGAACCTTTAACATACAAAGGATTCATGCATATTAAGATCTATGTTTGAAAACAAGAAGGAACTGAAGCTCATTCTAATTGAACATTAAAGAACAAAACATTGTTGCAATTAAGACACATAGATAAGCAAGATAATCTAGACGATCTTTAGGCTAGAGTAGGAGGAACAAACAAGAAAATATCAGAAAACAAGTAATTGCTGGGTTTCATTATCGTAAAAGAAGTCTCTAACAAGGTTTACCTGCTACACTGCTGGCAAAACCGACGTTCCACCCCTTCTACAACGACCTTCGGAGATTTGGAATGATTAGCACAAATCCTATGTTTACGGTGGTAATCTTTGGCTGATGACAGATCAATATTGCAGCCTTCAACTTGGCAGTGTTGTGCAAATGCACTCTGACCAGTGGACTTACTCCTCTTTGTCTTTGCCATTGACGAGGAAATAACAGAAAGGGAAGAGGATTTAGGATTATTTCCTGCACAAACATCTTCAAAGTACATCCGCTTACCAAGCTTTAGACTGAGCAGTGGCTCACCCGACCCAGCTGAAACCTCATGAGTTGGAGAAGATCCAAGGGCCTCAGCTTTAGCTGATTCATTTTTATGAATGAAATCATTCGGGAAACCTTCAAAAGCGTCAAGGTTGAAATTGGGTTTCTTACTTTCCCCAACTGAAGAACTGACGGAAGCTGATTTTGAACTTTTTGATGAGCCATCTCCTAAATCAGAGCCAGAAACACCACTGCCCCCATCACCCCCAGTTGAATAGAAAGATTCAGAGTGCATTCCTCGTTCCCCTTCAATACCCCAGTCTGCTGGTTGTAACTTCTTGGAATTGTCAGTTACTTTTGCACCAAACATGAAAAGGTTCTCCAAATCCCATAGTGAAGGAGGTTTTTCATTCCACTCCATCAGCAACACAGAATTCATAAAACTACTTCAAAACCGTTTTCGGATAATGCAAATTAAGTAACTGGTCACCAGATGCTGCAAACATATAACCACAACATAAGAATGTATATACACAAGCATATATGAAGCAAGAAAATGGGAGGAAATACACTACAATATTAATTAACTAATAACCTTGCATTATACTTTGTCAATAAGAATACAAAGTTCCTTAAACTTTGTCAAAGAACAAGAACATGAATATTGCAGAGGTGGAGCATGAAGCTGTAAAAGAAGGCAAATCCTAAATACCCTTGCAAGAAACAGTGCTGAATTCTTTGAGTATGTATGAGTTGAAGAAGCAAGGCTGCTCGGATCTGCCCAACTATGCACACCAAGGAATTAAATATAAAACTGCCTGATGCATCTCACGGCAGAGAAATCACTTTCCAACCGTAAACCTTCTGCAGCTAAATCCCCATCTACTTCATTCGACCAAAACAAAGAAACTGATTACATAAATCCAAACCTTACCTACTGTATTCCACATTTCCAAGTCATTACTTCTCAATCTAGTACTTTTAGCAAGCCCCACCTATTCAGAAACTACAACTAACCAGAACCATAGTAAGGATGGGCAAGGGTTCCCCATTTTTCCGCAAATTTTGAGCTGAAATTTTCCACCTTTATACATGTATGTATATATTACCTCTGTCTCTCTCCCCCTCTCTCTTCAATTATTTCTAATAATGTTTTTTTCTTTTACTTATTACCGCCACCTTTTCTCATATACCTTGCTTGTACTTTACAAACCTTTTAGCTCCAATAATTCACATTCAATAACATCGCAATCTCTGAAAGTCGGTCATTGAATAAGCCCCACTCACTACACTACAGCCTAGCAGACTAACGTTAACACTTTAACCTCAATTGCTCTGAAATTCATCCATTTCTCCAACAAACCCCTCCAAGCCCCTTCCTTCTTTAGTCACCAAGAAACCATATTGATTGACCCATAAACTCGAATAACAATTTTGGGGTTTTTCATATCTGGAACCAGACCCCTCAAAGAAATTGCATTTAGGCCTGTCCAGAAAAGTTCAATAATTTTCATGTACAAGATGAAAGAAAATAAAACAAAATAAAAAATAAAAAATTCCCCCAATAAAGTCGAACCTCTAAATATGGAAATAAAGAGAGAGGCGTTCCAAAAAATTTAAAAATTGCTTCCCCAAATTAAGAAACTTCGGCAGCTTCGATAGTGATTCGTTATAATTACTCTCTTGTTTCCCTAAAAAACATGTAAATCTGAAATTAGCAGAACCAGAACCACAGCTACTCGTCGTTTTCCGAAAATTCCAAATCCCCTTATGCAGATAAGTAATATTCTTCGATTTCATTCAGCTTAAAGGGTGAAGAAAAAATCCAACTTTTGTAATGGAATATCAAGCAACAGAGAGATACAGATGAAAAAAGAGAAAGTCAAAAGGGAAAAATGATTGCGAACTGAGCTGAGCTCAATATTAGTAACACTTACTTGGTGGATTGTGGAAGGTTGCAGAGAAGCTTTTGGGGTATTAAAAAAAGAAGGGAAAAGCATTTCCTGGCATTCCCATTCGTTTTCCTTTTCCAAGTTTCAATCTTTCATCGTAGAAAAAGACCACAGAGACGTACCGCCATTTGCTCCCACACTCATATTGTGTTTGTTTCTGTAAAATTCAACTTTTGCTTTGCTTTTGGGTCTTTGGCAGCTTTATTTTATAGCCCCCTTTACTTCTCAGTAAACGCGAAGCAGCCACCAAAACCGACAAAAGAGCCAACAGGGCCTAATTGGAAAATGACATTAATTTACATATCATTGGTGTTATGTTCGAACTCTCACGATATCATTGGTAGTATTTGCATTTAGACTATCATTTGTATTAAAAGAAAAAACTGACCAAAAAAATAGAGAGAGAGTCCGGTTCATCAATTATAAAAAACACATTGTATCACATTATCGTAATCATCTGGTAAATTATTATACGAGTGAGTTACTATTGATCATAATATTAGTTGACATCTCTTTATACTACGTAAATATGCTGATTATGTGGTATGATTGTCTTAGAGAAAATTTTCCTTTTTCATAAAGTTGACTGTAATCTATCTTGGTCAACCTAATTGCCCATTACAAGTTTCATTCCATTTTATTATGGTTATTATTTAAATGGTAGAGAAAACAAAAAATTTACCTTACCAAACATATTTGCATGACTGCAGTCAGTGTAACATAAAAATTAGGTTAAACTTTAAAAGGCAAAAGACGTTAACAATGTCATGTTGTGGGGTTTTTTAATTGGGAATTTTTGTTTGTTTAAGGAAAGTAAACTTAGGAATGTGTCTTGTATCAACAAGTTGGACTAGTTAAGACGATGATGCTGAACATAAAAGAAATGGGCGGAGTGTTCCCATGTTAGGACTAATTATAAAAAAGAAGTGTAAGCGGATAAAATTAAAATGGAGAAATCACCACTTATTATAAATTATGATACATAACATAACATGGGATGTAATTGAAAGAATAAAAATAAGTTATTCGTTGGACAAAGAGAGCCGAGTTGGGTTTTGTTTTTGTTTACACAAATATATTGAATTTAGCATCGGATATAATTAACTAACCAACTTGTGTCTATTAAACTATTAGTTCGTGTGGATTGAGGTTGGCAAATGGAAACAATTACTTAACTAATCAGATCAATTAATTAAATCGAATTTCAAGATCTCATGCTGAGAAGGGTCCAAGTGGGCACGTTCACTGTTGTTCATTGCTACCATTGGTGTTCATTGTTTTCAGAATACGGTGAAAGTTAACCGACGCCGCGTATGCTTTGGCATAATTAACTCTGTATGTAGAGGAGAAATTCTGCCACATAGTGTTATTAACTCACGGTACTTTGTATTATATTATTACTCAAAAAATTATTTGAGATGACGAAGTGAGTTTATACTTTAGTTTAAAGTAAGGTATCAATAAATATACACCTATTATAACGTATGTGAATTTTTCACACTGCAACTCTATTGATGGTGGATGCTATTTCTAGGGAGGAAAGAATTTGATTTGATTTGATTTGATTTTGGTATATGAATATGTGTGATTCTGCATCAAGGTACGTGGGCAAGTGCGCACCAAGTGACCTTATTCGCTTTAGGATTCTACATAGATTGGAGTTGGACTTGATCATGAGGCCCCATGATATTTATATCCCATAGCATGGACAAGGTACCAGGCTGATAGTATGGTCGCTGGTGCAAAGTCAATTCTCCAAAAATTACTGAGAACTTAATTCCATTCGAGATTAGCAGTCAATAATCATTGTTACACACTTGCTATCAGTCATATTCTTCATGTTCAAAAATTTAAGATCCCATCAACCAACCAGCCCACCTACCCATCTCCAACCTTTTTTTTGGTTTTTTTATGCAGAGTTTGCTGGTATGATGATGCTTTCATTAATTATTAATTATGGTAGAGCTTAATTTGATAATCACAGATGAAGAATAAAGTGAATTGGTGATGCTGGTTAGATTGGATAGTTGGATGGGATACATATATTATTGTTGTTCAAATTCAATGATATATGCTTAAAACCATGTTATTAATTTTAAACTGGATTTAATTAGGTTTAGGTGTGGAGCTTGCATGCCTTGATCTTCTCTATCATGGCCTCTTTGACCAACCTTCTCATAATTTTGCCTGAGGGTGATTTTGGGATGCTGTCCACAAAGTGCACCACTCTCACTTTCTTGTATTGAGCAACATTTGAGGCCACAAATTTAATAATGTCTTCTTCACTCTCTTTTGCACCAGCTGCTAAAACAACACTTGCTGCTGGAATCTCCCCTGCCTCCTCATCTGGCAATCTGAAAATTAACCCCAAAACACCTTAATCTAAACAGAAACTGCGGTAATTTTCTTTCTGAACAACAATGTATGATTAATTGAATTTCGATACTCACGGGACTACTGCAACATCTTCGACTGAGGGATGGCTCAGAAGGATGGCCTCAAGTTCAGCAGGAGCCACCTTCAGATTTTGCATAGCATAAATTGGGAAAATGTGAATTAGTCTAGTTAATCAGTAGCTCAACTTTTAAATCCATGACATTGAGTTAGTGAACTTTCATTAATCTAGGGTTATAATTAGTGGTCCATCTTACTTGGAAACCTTTGTACTTGATCAATTCCTTGATGCGATCCACAATAAAGACATTTTCATCATCATCTATGTAGCCAATGTCACCAGTGTGAAGCCATCCATTCTTGTCGATGATCCGGGCAGTCTCCTCTTCATTATTGTAGTAACCTGAAAAGTAAGTTATTATGACATGAGATATGCATGTTCTCAGTACACTATATATTATCGATACATTATCGCCAATATCAATACAAATTATGTTGCTTAACAAAGGACAGACATATTGGACTTCTGTATGACAAAGGTGAATCACATCAACATGTGACTAACATGTGATGCAATCAATCTCTCTCCTTTACCTTTCATTACACATTGACTCAAGACACAAAGTTCACCAGGGGTGTTTCTGGGGAGGGATCGGCCGGTGTCAGGGTCAATGAATTTGACTTGCAAATTTGGAAGAATGAACCCAACTGAGTTTTTCTTTGCCATAACACCCGGTGCGGCATGAGTGAGTGTGATGCAGCTATGTTCAGTCAATCCATATGCCTACAATTAAAAATAAGCACAATTGAATCAGCCAAAAAACACACAATTGTCTGTTAAAATCAGCACTTACAAATTGAAGGGCATTGTTTTTGTGTCACCTCTTGGACTTGGACACCAGGGAACTTGTTTTCGAAATTTTTGAGGACATCTGGTGCAAGTGGAGCTGCTGCAGTCATAATGGCCTGGAGTTTTAGCTTGCTCAGATCAAACTCATCCACTATTGGATTCTTAACCAAGTTCAAAATGATTGGTGGCACAATGGGCGCATATGTGACCTCTTGTGAGACCAATGCATTAAGAAAAGTCCGAAGTTCGAATCTTCCCATCACCACCACTTTCCCCTTGTTTCGAAGCGTCGCACAACATATTCCAGTGATCCCATAGATGTGAAAGAATGGAATTAGGCCTAGGACAGTGACTTTGCCAATCATTTCCGGCGTTACTCCAAAGAGTGTGGAGCTGAGGTTGGCTACTAGGTTTCGATGAGTCAGCATTACACCCTTGGACAGTCCTGTTGTGCCTGATGAGAATGGAAGGGCACATAGATCAGACTGCTTCAATTCCTCCTTATTGATTTTGTTCCCGGCACGGTCTGCTGCTTCAAGCAGGTTGTTCCAATTCATAGCACCTTCAATAACTTCTTCACCAAGCACAATTACTGGTACCCCAAAGCCTTTTACCTGCACATCTCAAATTCTCAACACAAAGGCTTAGAATTAAAATTGCACTATAAATTATCATTTCATATACTCACAGCTGCCTGCATTATTTTAACAGAATTACTGGGGCTATGATCTGATAACATTACCTTTTCATAGCTTGCACCATTTGTTACAATGATCTTGGCATCAGCTACCTCCACCTGCTTCTTAATTTCAGATGCATGCCCTGATGGATTTGCTCCCGAAAACACCCCACCAGCCGCCATTATTCCCAAAGCAACTATGGCATACTCTGCAACATTTGGGAGAACAACCACCACCACATGCCCCTTTCTAAGGCCAAGAGACCTTAAGGCCTTGGAAAATCTCCTAGTGTCTCTCACCACCTCCCCATAAGTAATTTTCTTTCCGGTCACCGCCTCCACGAATGCAACATTATCAGCATATAACTCTGCATTCTGAAGCACAAATTCTGGCAATGTGACATTATCAGGTACTTGGACAGCCGGTGCTCGGCTTCGGAAAATATGTTCCTCATCTTGGGCTGAGTTGTGCACAAAAGTTCCCATGGTGGATATGTAATGGAGAGTTGACCTGTGTTTTAAAGGAAGACAAAGTGAGGGTGAGAATTTCCATGGGATTAGTATCAGGTTTTAAAGGAAAATGAAGATGGGATTAGTAAGTTAAAGAAGAAGATGTTGTTAAGAAACAAGTGAGGGTGAGATATTCCATGGGCTTTGGTTGGTGAGAATTTGTTTAATCATGTATCTGTCACAAGCTAACATCACTCATTCTAAAATGAGCTTCTCAAGCTATTCAACTTCAGGGCAATGCTGTTATGCTTATGTTCCATATTTTGGGATTTTTCTACTGCAACATATCACATTAAATTTTATGGAATATTATTTGGGCTTATAATTGACCAGTTACCCCTTTTTTATTGTTATTGTACTTTTAGCTATACAGAATATACATTATATGATTAGCGGCTTTAGATTTTTATTTTTTGTTTTGTTTATACAGCGATATTGGGGGAAAATAAATTGAACTTGGAACCTCAAGTGCATCAGTAAATAATTTTAACCACTTGAGTTACAAGCCCCTTGCTAAGGGCTTTAGATTTTATATGAGCCGAATTAGGTAAATGTGTTATGAGTTAGGATTTACATTAAATCAATTGGGATATGGTTGTTGTAGCCTTAGCTATACATAATTGTATAGGACATGGTTGTTGTTGTAGCCTCCACCATTAGGCTTGCTCTGTGACATAGAGCAACAGAGCATAAACCTTATCTAGCTTTGGTGTGATGTGATGGAATCAGGTACCATTCGAAGTTCGATGTCTATGCATTCTCTGTCTTATGATCATGATTATTTTATAGCTCTGTTTCCATTTTCCAACTTGTAAGTGGTGTCAAACCAAAAGAATTTTTATTTATTTTTTGTTTACAAAGTATGAGTTGCAATTCTTGAATATTATAATGAACCTAAAAATCCTGCAAGTAGATTCAAGAACTGGATCGTAGAATTAGTATTAGTCAACCATTGGATACATCACAATGAATGCGACACCGTTTAAGGATAAACAAAATAGAAAATTCATACATAAATCACAAGTGACATCTTGTTGAATAAGTCTAATACTAATTTGGGATGATTTGTGAACTTGATCTTCAAATTTGAAGTTGGATGTACAGAGGAGAAGATAAGGAGCTAGTTCTATTATAATTAGCCCACCAGCTTCCTTGCCATATATTTTGGTGCTGAATTTATCATTTAAAATTTGGTTTATGGCTGAGCTGAGGAGCTATTTAGCAACATGACGGATTGTGCAGCAAAGCTTAAAGAGTTTACAGCAGAGGACTTGAAAGCATGCACCAATGGTTTTCACCAGAACAACCTGATTGGAGCTACTCAGTTTGGCAAATTATATAGAGGACAGATTAAGCTAGGGTTTATTGGAACAGATCAAGCTCGAGCCGTTACAGTCAAAATATGGGATGAGAAGTCAAGGTGCATAACATCCATACATGATGAGTTTCTGATGGTTAAGGTAAGTTTTAAGACTTAAAACTATCTTGTTTGTAGACATGGACTTAGCCAAGTTGGCTAGAATGGATCTGCTCCCCACTCTGCACCCGAGTTTGAATCTCTCCCCATAGTTTAGATTAGTTTAAAGTATAATATCGATTGGATCAAAACTTAAAACTCTCTCTCTCTCCTGCAAATCTTTTTTAGTTTTGGAAGGTTTAGGCTATTATTATTGGGTTGGTTTGTATTGCAGGAAGAAGTTCAATTTTTAACACATCCAAGTATAAATGGTCATCCAAACTTGGTGAAATTGATTGGTTATTGCTGTGAAAAGGAAGTCAAGGCTGTTGTCTATGACCTCAATCCATGGGATACTCTGCATAATTTGACAGTGAAAGGTGCCTTCAGTTTATGTTTTAAAGCTTCAATTTCTTATGGGTTTTATTTATTTTAAGCAACATGTTGAAATTCAAAAGAAACTTGTGCAAAGTTTTTTGTTACCCCATACAGATTATCTCAACTGGGTTCAGAGGCTCAATGTGCTTCTCCAATTTGCACGCCTCCTTGAATTTCTACACCTCCAGGACAAGCCATATTTGGTGTTGAACATCAATGCATCTCATATAATGCTGGATTGGGTTTGGACCTACTGCCTTTCATTTTCATTCAGACGCGAAAGCTCTTGAACCTTTCTATCCTTTTAGCTTTTGTCTTTTGTTTTAGTCTTCTAGCAATCTGCTGGCTTCATCTTAATCATCTTTTTCAACTTTGATTTTCAGGATTGCAGGCCAAAATTATTTGATTTTGGACACATTACTGGAGGAATCATTGGTGAAATGACCACACTAAAAAAGCAGATACCAATCTCCATTGGCTTTGTTGATCCATTTTTCATTGCAAAAGGTGCTTTTTTCAAAAGCCAGAACTATATGTCACTGTTTTGCATGCATACTTTCGGTTTTGCAAAAAGTAAAATCCATTTTGTTCTTCAGGTGGTAGTTTTTGGCACACAAGCTGTGATGTGTTTTCATTTGGTGTGATTCTCTTAGGCCTAATAGCCAAGAGAGGCCTTGAGCCAGTGTGTGTGGAAAAGCCCCACTTGGGACTGGACTGTTTAGTACAGTACTGGGCCAAAAAGGAATATAAGCCCAATGGGTCACTTGTCCACAGGAGCTTGCAGGAAGACTGGGGTTACGTTGATGAAGATGGTCTTGCAATTACAGAGCTGGAAATGCGTTGTGTTGAATTCTTCCCAAGAAACCGCCCTACAATTAAGACAGCTGTTGAGCTTCTTGAGGGTTTACTGGTTTTTCAACGCTTTGGTGATGCCAGGCCTAACAAAAGAGAAAAGAAATTTCACGGCATTGGCAACCATGCAGGAGGCACATGAAATGAAACTATGTGGCACTTAGCATTGTGTTTTCCATGGGGTGGACAAAACTTTGATTAGCTTGTAACCTAATTCTCTTTTGATTTTCTTCATTCAATTTCAACGTATGATGTAGAACTCTTAGTCGTGGAGACTTTGTAGCTGTAAAATTTATCTCATATTCAACGTCAATGATTGCAAATTCTCCTCTTAACGTAAGCAGATGTCTCAAATTCGAATTCCTCTCCTCCTTCCCTAAAAACACAAAATCTTTCGCTCCCAAACTTAGGTCTCATTTAGAACCCAATTCCAATTGTTGGATCGTCCATGGAGCGAAATTCTATAGTGAGGGTGTCATATATGGATTCCTCATATGGACCTTAATATTAGCTATGAGATCATTTCATTAAACTTAAGTGAAGTTATTATTTAGATGAATCTTATAGCTAATATGAATGTCTACATCTATAATTCATATATGACACCCTCACCATAGAACAAACCCCAACTTAAACTTTGCATTTATAAGCCCAAGTAACCCAACGTGTAAGATGGAAATGAGCTTAGGACAAATTAGAAATATAATAGGTTAGGTCATCTCCAAGCCACTAGGCCAACCCAAAAAATTCTAAATTTTAGCCAAATTTCTCTCTTAACCCAAGAAAAATAAGGGCTAAAATTTAGAAAAACCCAAATCTGGAGAGGAATACCAATCCAGCTATTGTCTGGGGCTTTTTTTTGTTTTTTGTTTTTGTTTTTGTGTGGAGCCCACTTAACCAGAAGCAATTCACGTGCGAGGAGGAAAAATTGGGGGTCGCGTCTACTGTGATGCATAGGGGTATCACGCTCTGGTGTCACATCTCTTTTTTATCTTTTTGTTTTTATTCCAACAGTAACCCAAATCAAATATTCATATTAAATCCAAGCTATTTTAAAGATAAATAAAAAGATCTAACGGCTGAAATTTAAATCAAATTGTCAAAATAATATTTTAAATTAATCTAAATCATATACAACCCCAAACCTCACTCCAAACTCTATAAATACCCATGTCAAATTGTTTAAAAAATTAAATTATGAAGTTATTTTAAAAAATTAAATAAAAAAAAGTTATCTATGAAAAATAAAATTAGACTTAAACTATTCTTAAACAATTTAATAAAATTGAGAACTTAAAATTTGAATCTAAAGGGTTGAGGAAAAAAACGATTTGAGTTCAAGCAAAATCCAAATAATTACTTTTTGGGGAAGGCGGAACTTGGATTTAAGACCTAATGGATTAGAGAAGATCTTAAGGTTGAGTGAGTGAGTGAAGGTTCAAAAAAGCAACCACACGGGAAAAGGGAGGGGGGCAAGGGAATGGAATGGAATGCACTTATGCACACGTAAAAGAAGGGAATCGATGATGATGATTATGATGAGCAATTATACCATTTAAACCCACCACCAAAAATGACTTAAAACTTCTCTTCCCTAGACCATGTGAAATCATTACCCACCGCATCCCCCCCTTGGTTTTGACAAACCTAATCATTCATTTCAAAACCTTCCCTCTTACCTTAACTTTAGCCTCTCTAACTCATCATGACCTCCCACTCTTTACCAAATTCTCCACCTCCCCATCTCAAATTACCTCCCATACCATTGCCCATTTTTTATTTATTCTTCTTATTTTGTTACTTTATTTTGTTGGATTGCATTTTATTAGAGTATTTCCAACCGATGTGTCAAACGTGCTATATAGATATTTAACAGCTAGAAATAACATCTCACGTCACTCCAACTGATGTGTCAAAGCTAATGTGGAATGAATGCTGGAGGTTGAGATGTTATTTTTGACATCCAAAAGCAAGATGTCAAATGAAATTTTTTTTTTCTTTTCTTTTTAATTAAAAATGAATCAACACTAAAATGTAATAAAATAATAATTTCATTTGACATATTGGGTGGAGTGTAAAGCTGTGTAAGATGTCAAATTGCCACATCAGCCATCAAATTTAAATTTGATGTTTGGTATTTAACATCTCTCTTGGAGATGCTTTAGAAACTGAGTCCAATTTAAATCATCAAAAATGCTAAATTCAATCATTCGCGTGCATAAAATAAATGTGAATCATTAACTCTACAATATATCAACGACTCAGAATCAGTCATGACATAATTCTCTGTTGTTTATACTGGAGAGGGTTCAAATTGCGGCCTTGAAGCAACAATTTAGCTCAGATATGCTGTGGCTGTAAGCAATTGTTACTCACTGCATCATTTGGGGAATGACTTTAGGGATGGGGGTTGTGGGAAGTAAGTAATGGTGTGGCAATCAAAATGGCGTACGACAGTCCATCTTGTAAGAAATCTATTAGGTAAAGGAAAGTGCCACAAGTCCAGAAGAGAGAAACTTTCAAATAACTGCATCCATATATGGTCACCAAACTACCCCCATATGCTCAATTCTCAAGGAACATGTGGTTAATAACACTAAACCAATTTTATCAATCTTTCTAAGCTAGATTAGATTCTTGTAATTTGCACTTTATTACACGATTTTAATATTTAATTTGGGAAAGTTTTGAAAAAAGAAAAAAACCCACTCACTTATTAGTCACTTCATGATCATCATTTCGTGTATGGTTGAATGAGTATATTGGCCATTTTGCTTACAAAATGAATTGTATGATTGCTTAAGACAAGGTTGCTGCTATCACTCATTTCAGTTAGTTGTAGGGGGGAATGTATGCGATTCTTTTCTTTCTTTATATTTTTTTTATCAAGTTTTTAGTGGTGGGTATCATCAATGTTATTTTTTGTTTTTATTTACACATGAAGGCAATGCATTTCAAGTTTGCTCATTGGCATTTTCTATTTTAAAATGCTTTTGCTTTCTAAATCAATGTCATCTTTTTTATTCAAGCTGTAATAAAGTATTCATAAAGCTTAATACTTTGTCACCAAATTTAGTAGGCCAAAACACAAAACAATATTTAGCAATAATAGTGAATTGTAATGGCATGTTTACCTTATTTGGAATTGAGTAAGTCATAAATCGAAGAAGTGCGAAAGAAGAAATGAGTACGAGATCAATTATTCCCTTACTCAATCTAGTTCTTGATTTTTCAGGTATTGCGGATTGTAATGAGAAAATCACATATTTTTATTCCTTATGCGTTGATGATTTCAACACCCATTTCAGATAAGTAAACATGTCATAGTTTTGAAAACTTAAAATAAAAGAAAAGGGAAGGAATAAGAAAAAGAAGTTGGGGAACAACAAGATCAATAATAACAAGTACTTGGGGCACTTACGGGAAATGAGTAGAAAGACCAGTAAAAAGGCATCAAGTAGGTACTTCCATAATTCTAACAAAATTATATCATAAAATGGAAAAGGTGTTGGGACAATCATGCCGTGTGCGTGGAACAAGGACAAGAAAGAAAGAGCCTCGAGAGATCTAACCACAGCCGTTGATTTTCTAAAAGTTTCAAAAGTTCTCTCTCCTCCGTGGTCTCCTTGACCATCATCAACTTATAACCTTCCGTTCACACACGTGGATTGCAAAAAACACTCAGTATTCCGCCTTTTTTTCTCCAATAATATTCCGCCTTTTAAATGCCAAGGAAAAACTTCATGACTTTTGAATTTACCTTTATACCCTACTACTTCAAAATATAGCATGCCATAAGGAGGGGGCAAGTTTTATAATTACAGAGACTGAAATCATATTCTAATTGTAGGATTATGTTTTCTTGGTTTTATCATTACCAAGATGAAAGTGAATTTTATCTGATATGTAGTCACTCAGTCATAAGTTTTGTTTTAAAATACCTCTGATATATAGCGCTTTAACAATTAAAATTTTCTTAAATTCTCAACATCTTTCTTATTTTATCCATAATAACAAAGACTTGGCTCCAAGTTTTTAGTTTATAATATATGTGAGTCATCCCCATGACTAAGGGCCAATTTGGCATTGCTGTACTGTGAAAATAATCGTTGTCAGATTTGCTGTGAGAGAAATCAGCTGTGAGAAAAAGCAGTTTGGTGTTTGGTAAAATTTTTGTTAAAAGTGTTGTTGGTATTGATTTTACGCATAATCAAAAAATAATTGCCGCATAATCATTAAACCCAGCGCCTCTTCGAAATTGATTCCTGCATAATCAGAAAATGAAAGCACCTCATTAGCTGCTTTCCCTTATAACTTTCTCTCACAGCAATTTTTAACAATAAGTGATTTTCTCACAGTTTACCAAACGGGTTCTAGCACTAAACGGGTCATATTCAAAGCAACTAGTATTAGAATACGAAGGGTGTAGACTTGAACACGACCTACTAACACCTATAAATTGTCACCCTAAAAATATGCCATGCCTAGTTGGAGGAAAAAAACATCGTGCAAGGGTAAAGTTGGAAAAGAAGAGGATTTTGATATTGCTGTAATATCAAAATTTTACAAGAAAGGGGTTTTATAATAATGAGCGAGAGTACAAGTTAATGGTATGGGCGTGCATACGTGGTAAAAGAAGAGTAGCTATTGCAATCAGAGAGAGAGAGAGAAGAGAGAGAAGCAAAGAAAGCAAAGAAAGCAAAGAAAGAAAAGAAAGAAAGAGAGAGAGAGAGTGGAGGTTGGGTTGGGTTGGGGGGCTGGGGATGGGGATAGGAGCCTTTGGAGAGGAAGGGGCTCTCTGGTTACTGGAGGTCTTCTGGTCTTATTTAATTTTTTGAGTAAATAACAAAAGGAAAATAAAAAGACTGGTTTTTGTTTTTGTTTGGAAGTTTGGGTCGTTAATTGCGAGAGGTAGAGCCTCAGAGGGGCATGGAAGGGCTGGCCATGCTGAGGCAGCTCATCGGTCAGCTTCAGGAGCTCGTTGAAGTCTACGGCTCTCACCCTCATTACCATCTTCAACAACATCATCATCTTCATCTTCAACCTTCTCTTCAGTTTCAGCTTCCTCTGCTCAATCATCACTCTCAACAGCAGCACCAACAGCACCAACACCCAAGGTCTCTCACTCTTTTCTAGTTGTGGATCTCTCTCACCTTCTCAAATTCCCTTTCTTTCCCACCATCTCTTCAATTTCTCCTTCCTCTTTCATTTCCTGCTTTATAGGTATTCATAGTTTTATTCTGCTTGCTTGCTTTTATTTTAGTTTTCTTATCTGAAGTGTAAATTACATGGCTTTCTTTTCTTTTCTTGCTGAAGTTGGTTGCTTTTCTCTGTTTGCTTTCTTGACAGTTAGGATTGAGAAATTGGTTCTGATTGTTCTTGATGAATAGCTTGCCATTGTTGGAGTTGGGTTTTGTGGAGACTTTTCTTTAATTTTTCATTCAATTTTATCTCGCATATATGTCTTCCTTTTATGTTTAGCTCAATTCCCTGGCACAAAATTGACGGGCTTAACCGCACTATTTAGTATTTGATTTTAGTTTCTCGTTTTCCTCTTTGGTTTTGTTTTTATGACTGTCCAGCTGGGTTTGGGGTTCGATGTTGTTATTGGGAAGGTTCATGGTCAACTAGAAACTATTCTCGGTTGCCATTTCTATTTTAGAACCATTTGATAGCGTCTATCATAGAAAACCAGAAAAGGAAAGGAGCAAAAGAACAGCTAGGTCCCAGAACTTGAATAATCTGATAAACGCATGATTGAAATATGGGCCACCAACTGAACCATCTTCCTTGCATTGATCATGCCACGTTGGGTTAATTGATATGTGATATTCATTTTACATTGGGTAACGAATGAAAACAATTAGTTTTGGTTAAATATGACCCATAACTTCAGCTTTTGGTTTCCTGTGCTGCCCGTTTGCATATAATGCATTGACCTGTAACACCTCTTCATATTTAGTGTTCAATAAACTGCCAGCATATTATCTTTATAGAATTTGATGTAGAACCGTGGCTCACCTTTGTACTCCACAGGAAATGAGCTTCTTTTTCTCTTTCTATTTGGGATAGGTTGTTTTGCATTATGCATATTCCTTGGTTATCTTCACTTCTTGACTGTTAAACTGGCTAACTTGGATTCCTGCATTTAACAATATGTTGCTTGATACTCATTCCCGTACACAAAGACAATTTCAGACTTTATAAAGCTTAGCTTATAGTACAAGAGAATCTTGCAGGGACAGTTGGGAGGAGCATCATTTCTTAAAGTTGAATATTTCAACGCACAAAATGTTATCTTGATATGTTCATGTGGTCTCCCAGTTTGTTCACTTCATGTCTGTTGAACTTATGCTTGCTGTTTGATTTCAATTTTCTTGTGGTGGAACCTTCAAAATTTGATGTCATAGGTCTTGCCTACTACTGCATCCATGACCCTTCCTGTCTCTTTAAGTTAGGCTCTTAAATTCAATCTCTTTCATTTCTCATCAACTTCTTGCTCTAGTGTTAGGTTCAATATTTTCAGTAGTTACTGAAATTTTCTTGAACTAATATTTAAGGCCAAGTAAAGTTCTGTTCCCAGGGACCCTGTAGCCCTGATGAAAATTCAATAAATATGTTCCACATCATGGCTAACTGGGGACCTGCAGCAGGTAAATTAATTAGAATGTCAGTCAATTTTTTCGCCTGTTTGTCAGAAAGTAAACTGGAATCAATTCTCTGAGAAAAGAAATTAAACCAAAAATAAAACCTTGTAGTAATGATCTCCCATTTTGGCGTATTTTATAATTTTGATAGGAACCATTTGTTTGACATGTTTTTAACTCAATGGTTCAGGACTTGTTATAGTTTCTCGCGGGTTTATGTTTATGGACTTTGCTGGCCTTTTATGTGTGTACGTTTCAGTATTTTGCTTCTTCTTTCACTGCAAGTGCGGTAAAGTTCCTCAAGTAGGGAGTGTAGGATTAATTTATTGTTGCATTTTACACAGGTGGTGCCCAATTAACATTGATGAAGGTTCTCCAGATGATTACTACAGTTTTATGATGGCAGCTGGAAAATCTGGAAGTTTGAAGATGTTGGAACCTTGCAAGCCTCCTCCTACTAAGAGATCTCGTAAGGAGAGAACCCGGGGTAAATCATCTGGAACTACCAATACCACTGAGCCTATGGAACAGCATATTTGGAAAGATTTCCCGGAAGACCTTTATGAAGTTGTCATTGCAAGGCTTCCCATTGCCACATTTTTCCGATTTCGTACTGTTTGCAGGAAATGGAATTCCTTGCTTGATTCTGAAAGTTTCTCTCAACATTGTGCGGAGGTCCCACAAGCTACTCCATGGTTTTACACCATCACTCATGAAAATGTGAATTCTGGGGCCATGTATGACCCATCCTTGAAGAAGTGGCACCATCCCACCATTTCTTCTCTGCCAACAAAGCTGATTGTTTTGCCAGTGGCTTCAGCGGGGGGGCTGGTGTGTTTTCTTGATATTGGTAATAGGAACTTCTATGTGTGCAACCCTCTGAATCAATCTTTTAAAGAGTTGCCAGCCAGGTCAGTCAAGGTCTGGTCTCGTGTTGCTGTGGGGATGACTCTGAATGGGAGTTCAACTAGTGAGGGATACAAGATCCTATGGGTGGGTTGTGATGGTGAGTATGAAGTCTATGATTCCGTGAGGAATTCTTGGATCCGTCCCGGAATCATGCCGTCGAGTGTTAAGCTGCCCCTGTCGCTGAATTTTCGGTCGCAGGCTGTTTCAATTGATGACACACTCTACTTCATGCGTTCAGACCCTGAAGGGATTGTGTCATATGATATGGTCACTGGGATTTGGAAGCAGTTTATAATTCCCACCCCGCTGCATCTGACTGACCACACACTTGCTGAATGTGGAGGCCGGATCATGCTAGTGGGGTTGTTGACAAAGAATGCTGCCACGTGCGTGTGCATTTGGGAGCTGCAGAAAATGACACTTCTATGGAAGGAGGTTGACAGAATGCCAAATATATGGTGCTTGGAGTTCTATGGAAAGCACGTAAGGATGACTTGCCTGGGTAACAAAGGCTTGCTCATGTTGTCCTTGAGGTCAAGACAGATGAACCGATTGGTTACATATAATGTGTCAAGCAGGGAATGGCTGAAGGTCCCTGGTTGCGTGGTGCCACATGGGAGGAAGCGGCAATGGATTGCATGTGGCACTGCATTTTATCCATGCCTGACTGCTGTGGCTTGAAACAGGTTTCTCTGTTTCCTGTGGGCTTCGGCATTGTCAAGAATGGGAGTTTTCCTTAACTATCCGTTTCATCACAGTTGGTTGCAAGCTTTCACGGCCAACTTGTTTCTAGCCAATTTTCGTTATTTGTTTTAATGAACTAGACAATTCCATGGGTCTTATGACATCCAGAGATTTCCTCATTTGTGTGCAAACTTGACAAATTGCTTTGAATCCTGAAGACAGGTTAGAATGCCTATTTTTCAGTCACCTGGATGAGTGTACTATAATATGTGTTTGTTGTTGGTTGAACTGAAATAAACCATCTCCTCTAATATATAATGTTTGCAGGTGTATTCTTTTAGAATATATTATGTATATATTTGTAACTGCTGTATTAAACAATGCCAGTTGATGTTGTTGAGTAAACAAATGCAATACATGCTCGTCTCTGTGGTGAGTTCTGCATTTTCTGAATTACCATCGAATTTCATACGCAGACATGTTTGAAGTAAGATTCTTCAACTTGGTAAGCTTCATTTGTCTCAAAAAATAGCAAGACCTGTGATCCAATCTCGTCTGTATGGTAATTGTAAACCGAAATTCACTCGGAATGAATAATTTTACTACGAATAAAATCCAAAATTGGGCATCCAGAGCCTGAAGCATAACTATCGAATTACCTTTTCCTATATTGTCAGGGAAAGAAAGACAATTTGATTGTGCAAGTTCTTGTGAAAAATGGACCAACCGATTTATACGAATACAAAACTTATTCTGGAAAAACCTCAAACCATCAGACATAAGAATGGCCTAAACTGCCCAATTGGGGTTAAATTGGGTATAGCTCGGATAAGTTATGTGTAATGCAAAAATCAAAAACAAAAAACAAAAATAAAAAACAAAAAACAAAAATAAAAAACAAAAAACAAAAATTAAGTGAAGCAGAGGAAGGGGTTCCTTTATTCAAACTTCTTTTAACTTCACAAGATAGAAACACCACTGTTTTTAGTACTACATCACATTGTATATCATCAGTTTCCTACTGGCTAACAAAACAACGGTAAATAACACGACTGGTTGGTTGATGCAGTCTGATGCCATCTCTCACAACTTAGAGGCATCAGCAGCAGGCTAATCTTCAATTAGGCCATGCCTCCGCTTGTAGCAGTCCTGATTATCTGAAACAGAGCTGTTTCACACAAACAAATAAAACTCAGATCACAAAACCACCAAAACCATTCATGCAATGCAATGCACATAAACCATGCAAGGGAGAGAACATGAACCAAAACAACAGAACCCCTCTTGATCCCATACAGATCAAGGCAATGGCACAAATTCAAACATTTCCTTCAGGCTTTAACCCACATGAGCATTTCCGAATGGGTGCTCAAAGGTTTCAGCTTTGGTATTATTTTATCCCCAATGTTTCACAAATGTCAGTGCATGCAGACACAACATAATGTAGATCAACCAAAATAAACATTAAAATGGCAGCTAAAATCCAGATATAATTTACCAATTATGGGGATTGTTAGAATGATTTCAATTAGGAAATTCTAGCTATCATTGAGTTGAGTCATATCAGATTTAATTTGCCATTTGTAAAATTGAATAATGAGAGGCATACATGAGCCAATGACAACAAAGACGAAGAATCCAAGGAGAATAGGGCCAACAGGATAATCCTTGCCCTTCTTGGCGGTTGTCTCAGGAACCGCCCCTCTCTTTGTTATGTTCTTCTCAAACTTCTCCACCTTCCTATCAGCCAAACGCCTTGAAGTCGTCTGCAGCACCACAAACCCAAATCAAAATCAAAATTTCAAAAATTAAAATTCATCATGATCATTATAATCCCAATTTCACATCCATCAAAACCCTAATTCCATTCAATTCAATTAAATAGCCGACCCCATTAATTTTGTAATACAATTACAGATCTAGATCAAATCATAAGCGCGTAACATTACACAGATCGGATGAAAGGGACGAAGAGAGCACGGGAGAGTTACCATGGTTACGGGCAGATCCGATCCGGTAGTTGAGTGCGTCGCAGGTGATTAATTCTCCTTGCAGGCTTTTCCCCTTCCTTCTCACAATTCTCTCAGCCAAGGCGAGTTGCAAGTTCAAACTCTCGCCCTTATTTCTCTTTCACAAAAAGAGCTATATGTTTTTGACGTTTATATATTTAGCAAATTCATGATAAGGTCCCCGACCACGACGTCACGGACTCACAGCCTTCACGGCGATTGGCTAAACCACGTAGAACGGGACACGCGTCGCTTGGTGATTTGAGGTAATTACCAACGTAACACCATGTGCGTTAGAGTTTGAGTCCACATGGAGCAGCTGGACCTGGGAAGAGAGAAAGCAGCGCGTAGAGGGACCAGGTCGGGTCCCCGTATCCGGAGAGAATTCAAAATTGTCCTTGTGAATGTGAATCCAGGACATATCCAATATCCATGTGGCATTATTATCTTTAAAATGAATAACTTATATATTTGCCTTAATCTATATACTAGCCTCTCTGCATGCGCTTCCGCGCCTGCGAGAGGCTTTTTTAAAAAAAGTTAAAATTTATTTTAGAATTAAAAAAGATAATGGGTAGTTGTGTTTCATAAAAATAGGATCCATTATCTTATTTTTCTTTTAATTTTATTTTTTTTAAAATATAAAAAAGTGTGAATTTACTGTATTATCCTAATTTAATTAATAATTTCAATTCTTAATGTTTGCATTAACCAATGGCATTTTCTGGTATTTTGAATGTTTCACCATTCTCTACCTTTTGCTTTATATATATAGATATAAAGCAAAAGACAAAGAATGGTAAAACATTCAAAATGTCAGAAATTGTCCTTGGTTAATGCAAATATTAAGAATCTATATATATAAAGCAAAATGCAGAGAATGATGAAACATTCAAAATATCAGAAAATGCTCTTGGTTAATTCAAACATTAAAAATTAAAATTATTAATTAAATGAGGATAATATGGTAGATTCACATTTTTTCATATTAAAAAAAATTAAAGTTAAAAACAAAATCAGATAATAAGTCCTACTTTTATGGAACATAACTACCCATGTTATCTTTTCTTAATTCTAAAAATAAAATAAAAAATAAAACCAATTGGCACATAAATGTGGATAATATGGTAAATTCACACTTTTTCATATTAAAAAATAAAATTAAAAGAAAAATCAGATAATTAATCCTATTTTTATGAAACACAACTACCCATTATCTTTTTTAATTCTAAAATAATTTTATTATTTTTTTAAAAAGCCTCTCGCATGCACGGAATCGCGTGCATAAAGGCTAGTCCAAATAAAGAAAAAAAAACTGGACAAAGAAAACCAGAAAATCAGGTCCAATGTATTTTTAAGGGGGATGGAATTCTTTTATGGTAAGGATTCAATTAAAAATACAAGTAGAAAAAGAAATGAGATGCATAATATTTTTTACTATATAGTGTGATACATTACTTAATTTGCATAATAATTTTCACTACATAGTGTCACGTCGCTTAATTTACATAACATTTTTATTAGGCTTAATTGTTACGGTGCATCCTGAAACATTGGTCAATTCTCACTTTATCCCTTTAAAGTTAAAGTGACCCACTTTGCCCCCTTGACCAAGGTTTGATGTTCCACAATACCCTATACTGTCAATTCCATCCAAAAATCTGTTAAGTTTGATGACGTGGCATGGGTGTTTTAGTAATTTTGTGTAGCTTAATTTTTTATTCATAAATTTGAGTGGCTAATGTGGCAAAGTGGAGCCCACCTCCAGCATGGATTAAAAAAATTAAATACAAACATAAATTCTCTCTCTCTCTCTCTGCGCAAAATTTTCTTAAGCACATTCAACCATTGGCACAACGTCTTGGAGACCCATTCTACTTACCTAACTAGGAACATGCCTTCAATTCCGGGTATAAAACGAAACAAAATTTTAATGTTTCTTCAGCACTGTATAATGAATGCAAAATCTCCACTGAGAAGAATTTCAAGCAAAGCAACACCATCAATATAGAACTCAGAAAGGCGACGGCTCTAGTATATTAACAAACCATTCGCAGCAGAGTTCATGAATGTGAACAATGCAACTGGGTAAGGAGGCTGAGGATCTGATCTGCTGGTTTCTTCAATTTAATCATTTTTTTTTTATTGGGTTTCGATAATTGAAAAGAGAAATTGAGTTTGATGAGTAGAAGACAATACATATTTTTTTTTCTTTTTTTTTTTTTTTGAAAGAGAAGAAAAGTTGTTTGGCTAAGGATTGATTCAATTAATGGGTTTGGGTTAGTGGTTGTTGGAGAGAGGGAAGGGATGAAGTGGGCAGGGTCACTGGCTGTCGAATAGAGAAGATGAGAGAAAAGCAAAGCCGCTCCAAACCGTGGGAGTTGGGTAGAAAAAAGCAAAAGGAGGGGGCGATGGTCTTAATGGGGAAATGGGGGAGCATAGAAGAAATTGAGGGAGGTGTAAGAAATCAGAGGGGGTGGGAGGGGAGTGGGGCCATGGGCTTCTGGGTTCTGCGGAGGGAGGGGGGGTGTTGCGGGGGGGGGGGGGGGGGGGGGGGGGGGGGGCAGGGGAGGAAAGGGTGCGCAGGAAGGGGTGGGTTATGGGTGGGGGAGCGATGGCTTTCCGGCATCTGCACAGGGAGAGGGGTGGGTTGTAGGTTGCAGGTGGGGGAGCGATGCGAATATGGTGCGACTGGGAAGGGATGGGTAGTGTTTTTTTTTCCTAATATATATATATATATATATATTTCAATTTTATGTTTATATTTTAATTTTTTACAGTAATTAAAAAATCTATGTGCACAAAATTACTAAAACACTCCTGCCATGTCATCAAATTTAACGGACTTTTGAATGGAGTTAACGGAAGGGGCAATGTGAAACATCAAACCCTGGTCAAGGGGGCAAAGTGGGTCACTTTAACTTTGAGGGGGTGAAGTGAAAATTGACCAATGTTTCAGGGTGCACTGTAGCACTTAAGCCTTTTTATTATATAGTGTCACATCTGAATTACAAGATTTTATAAATCAAAATCAATTTAGATTTTTTTCTTTATGGGAAACTTGGCAAACTTGCAAATCATCTATTGTTCATGAACTAAAATCAGCATGCTTCAATCTTTATGTCTTTCATCTTGATTTGTTTTCTGGCTCTGCATTTTCATCATTTTGCACCTTCTGTTTATCTTGAATAGTTATGAGTCTATGACCTGAAGAAGTTAGAGTGGAGTAGCTGCTAGATCCAACTCCCCAAAACCCCTCTCGAGTATTTGGAGCCTCATTTTTCAAGAACTCCATCTTCCTAGATATATAACAATCTTCTTGCTACGTAAATTGTATTGTTACAGCAATGCTGCCTACCACTTGGTCTAACAATTTGAGGCCACCTTTAGTGTTCAACTTCAAACAAAAGAATGAATAAAAATCGGTTGGAAAATTGCCATGAAGGTTGCAAGGAAACATACATATTCAACGCAAAATGTATAGCAAAATAAACCAAACTGCGTCAACCCCTTCATCACTGGTTTTGGTGTCAGTACCATTCTTTTTTCTAACCCAAATCCAAAAAGCTTTCAAATTGGGCCCTAGCTCATGTGAGAAAATGTCGCAAAATGCTTGTTAAATGCTGATGGAAATGGAAATATCAGCGGTATTATTAAAATATATATATATATATATATATATATCTCTGTGATGAGAATCAATATTGAGAGAAATTATATATATAGTCAAATGTATTAAAAACAATACTCATTCAAAGAAAAGTTAAGTTTCAGTGATACTATCACACTTTTTTTATTATTATAAATATACGTGATAGTTTAAATTACAAGGGGAGGGATTTCTCAAACCAGGGTGCTATAAGAGTTCGAACTTAAGACCATTGGTCTACAAGTTAACGTCATTTTCCACTAGGTTAGACCCCGTTTACGGTGATACCATCAAACTTTAGACCATGCTCAATTTAAACATGAATCAACAAATGTCAACAGGGTATAGCCCAGTAAAAAATGACTTCACTTGCAGATCAGTGGTTTTAAGTTCGAATCCCCATGCAAAACCAGCCCTGGCCTAAGGCCCAAAACTATGGGGGGCACAAAAATATGGTTTTTTAGCCTATATTTATTTAAAAAAAAAAAAAAAAAAAAAAAAATGTCCTAATAGCAAGTAGTCATAATCATTAAATCATGGCAGCACAAACCTCTTCGAGATTCTCTAAGAAACTAAATATAAATTATATAATATAATATTCTAAAAAATAAAAATTAATGAAACTAAATATATGGAAACAAAGAGTCCTTAACAAAAATAAAAAAAACAAACAAACAAACGTTATCTTAGCCAAAAAAAGACCTAGTAGTGGCAGCAACACACATTGGAAGCATTAGCAATTTGAAGGTTTTTTCTGTGTGTCATTCTTTTTTATAAGGGTTTTTTGCAGCAATGGTCCCTCAACTATACCTGTAGTTGCATTTGGGTCACTGAACTTTATTAGTTACAGAGGTCACTCAACTGTGTGTTTCGTTGCACCAATAGTCCTTCCGTCAAGTCTGGCTAACGTTGTGTCAATTTCATTGGCAAATTTATCTTTTGAAGTCTGGCATGTCCAACCTCCCATCTACAGCAACTTCCTCCGAAAAATGTCAAATCTGGCTCCAAATAAATCCCCAATTCCCATTTATATTCTAAGAAAGCCACATCAAAACAGTAGATGTGATGAAATTTTGGAAATTCGAAGGAAATTTGGGAAGCCCACACAGTGCATGCGCAAAAATGTCGCAGATTTCTTCTTCATCAACAAATCCGAGCCCTAGTGCGAGGAAGCTATGCAGGTGCGGTGGATATATCAAAACCTGGACTTCATGAACTGATTTAAATCCTGGGAGAAGATTTGAGGCTTGTGAGATGAGTCGAGTAAATTAATTTGTGAAATTTTATTTTGTTGCTTGATGGGTTTAGTTTTGATGTTATGAAACGTACTTTGCAGAGAAACAGAGGAAATGGGCATCATTGGGAGTGGCTGGACGCACCGACCTATGCAAGAGGAAAAGAACTAATTCCTGGGTTGTTGAGAAGAATGAGAGCAATGGAAGCGGACCTAAAGTTAATAGAAGAACAGAAGAAAGAAGTGGAAGATAAGCTGAAAATGGTAGAGAGAGAAAAGAAGGAATTGGAGTACGAAGTTGGAGAACTAGGCAAGCAGAAGATTGTTGGAAGAGAAAAGAACAGGCCAACGACCAAGAGAGAATCAGATTTGGGGGGTTTCATTTCTATCATTGGGTCTTGGGTTTTTGGTGATTATGATGATGCTCTGTGTCTTGAGCAATTGGTTGACATTTTCGGGTGGAAACTACGAAAAGCTTATGATCAATTAGGTCGAAATGTAACCGATATGTAGTTCATTTTGCAATGAAATTTGAGTTTGAGTTTGGTGGACATATTGGTGTTAGTGTATTGAAATTTTGCAATGAAATTTGAGTTCATTTTGCAATGAAATTTGATGATGCTCTGTACCAGTTCCAAAATGTACCAAATGAACATGTATAACACCCAGTTCCAAAATGTACCAAATCAGCATATGTAACATCCAGTTACAGCTTCCAAAATGTACCAAATCATGTTCCAAGTTACAGCTTCCAAAATGTACCAAATGTACCAAAATGTACTAGTTCAAGTTCCAAAATGTACCAAATACAAAACAATGACAGTAAGTTCCAGCCTAGAGACTCAAAAAATACATCTAACAAACCATTCATAAAACACATCTAACTACTTCAAAAAAGACATCCAACAGACATCCTCCTAGTTAGCCTTCAAAGCATCCATGGTTTAAGCTTCTTGGCAAGAGACTTGGGTGGTTGTAATGATGATGATGTAGCTCCAGTGTAAGAGACTGGCTGTGATGATGATGAGAGTGGTTGTGATGATGAGAAATTGTTTGGCATTTCTGTTGTCCCATTTCCAACCTAAAATAAAATGGAACCACATTAACTAACTAAAGTAAATTAAACAACCAAAGTAGCATGACAAAGTTGTCACTTACATTTCCTGTTCCCATTGGCATTTCTCCTCTCCCATTTCCTTTCCCTCTTCCTGTAGTAGTTCTTCTGCCTATAGTTGGGTTGGGCTGATTAGGGTGGGCCTAGAAAACAAAAATAAACATGATATAAACTAAACATTAACAACAACAAAAAGGGTCATATGAACTGGTTGGGCCTAAAGACCAAAAAAGAATTAAACTAAAGAGATTTTAACTAAAATACTTGAGCTGCCCCTTCGACTGTAGAATAGGCAACTGATTCTTGGTTGGGCTGATTAGGAACGGCCTACAATAACAAAAACAAAAAACCAATTAAAGTTGTCAACAACAAAAGTAAATTAAACTACAGAATGCATTACCCAAATACCTGAGTTGCCCCTTGGACTGTAGAAGAGACAACTGCTCATTGGTTGGGCTGATTAGGAACGGCCTACAATAACAAAAACAGAAAACCAATTAAAGTTGTCAACAACAAAAGTAAATTAAACTACAGAATGTATTACCCAAATACCTTAGCTGCCCCTTGGATTGTAGAAGAGCCAACTGCTCCTTGGTTAGGCTGATTAAGAACAGCCTACAATAACAAAAACAAAAAACTAATTTAAGTAAATAATAACAAAAGTAAATTAAACTACAGAAAATATAACCCAAATACCTGTGATGTCCCTTGGTTGGTATGCCGTGTCTTATTATGTCTCTCATGGCCACAAATTGAGCATCTTATCTTGACATAAATCCTTCTCAACTTAGTAGGTAGTGGATTGTAAAATGGGGGCAAAGGGTTTGGAGGAACTGGAGCAGGTACTTCAACATCAGCTGGTTCTTTGTTCCTTGATTTCTTAGGTCTTCCAGACTGCTTCTTATATGGATGAGGTTTAATTGGTGGCCAATTAGTTCTCTGCCACTAGTCCATGGATGGTATTGGGTGTACCATAGGTTCATATGAACTCAGGTAGGCTTCTTTATTATAGCAATCATGTGCATGGTCAAACACATTTGCCTCCTTTTGAAAGATACAAGAAATAGCATAAGAACATGGGCTCCCACACAAATCTCATCTTCTATAAGAGCAAGTCTTGGCTTTTAGATCCACTACATACTCTCCCCCATACATATGGCTCACTTGGTATTTGCTCTCACCTGCTAATCTAGGAATGCATTAACTAGCTCCTAACTTGTTCTTCTCAATGATCTTGACAATCCTAGGCCCAACTGGATGTCTCCAAACCGTACCAGCAATCCTTCTATTAGACATCCTTAACATGATATAAACTCTAATCATTTCTAGACATGTTAAGATAGGCTTGTCTCTTGAATCTAAAATCCAAGAGTAAAAGGATTCATAGAGGTTTTTCAACAACATATCACACTTAGAATATGGCTCAAAATGAGATCTACTCCAATTTTTGGCTGGTCTTTTCTTAACCCACTTCCATGCCTCTTCATCTTGCTCTTTCATCTTGTCCATTTCTGCTTCATGACAGGGAATGGTAGTCGCTCTTGCCGCAACCCAGAGAATGTTTTTCAGTGCAAGGCCAACATGCTCTGTCCTAAAGTTGCTGTAGAGATGCCTAACACACATTCTGTGCTTAGCTGTTGGAAGAAATGTCTCAATTGCATGTATTAGACCTTTTTGCTTGTCACTCATAAACACCCAAGCTTTCTCATTCTTAATTTTTAAGTCTTCAATCAAAAGTTCAAGGAACCAAATCCAACTACTTTTTAATTCCACCTCTACAACAACATAAGCAACTGGGTACATTCAATTATTCTCATCAACACCAATGGCTGTTAAAACTTGCCATATGTAAGGTCCATTTAAATGGCAGCTATCTATACTAATCAGATGTTTACATACTGCCAAAAATCCCCTCTTACAAGCTTCCAAACATACATAAATTCTTTTCAAACACAGGTACATCACCCTTCATCTTATTCTTTATAATCACAGTGCTGCCCTTGTTAGCCTTCTTCAATTCTTCTGCATAGTCCAATAGCCTCGCATATTGCTCCACATAGTTGCCTTCAATGATCACCTTGGACAAGTTCTTTGCTCTATAAATCTGATACGTACTTTGAAACATTCATATGGTACTTTTCTAAAACCTCAGCCTTGAATGCCCCTACATCCCACTCAGGATTTTTCCTAATCTTGTCAGCAATCCTTTTGGACAGCCACCTTGAATTAGTATATTTCAGTTTGTCAACTCTAGTACACTCATGCTCTAAGGACAGAGTCTTTATGGAAAATGTCTGCTCATCTCTATCTATCTTGGAAGCAAACAGAATAAAAGGGCATTTCGTGTGACCTGCACACTTTGCTTGAATCATTTTATTATCATTCTTCACCAATTTAACATTCCTCCCTTGCACAATTGCATACTCCCTAATAGCTTCCTTGAGTTCATCCTTATTGGAAAATTGCATTCCAATTCTAAACTATGGATTTCTCAAATCAGTTTCTTTCCTAAACTATTTAAAATTTGTCTTCTTCCATTTCCTCTTGCTTGCCTTTTTTTTTACCATCTTCCTCATCACCAGAGCTATCACCATCATAAGGAAGTCGATCACTATCTTCATCATCGTCTAATATCTCCCCTGTTTCATTAAGAGGCATTTCATTCATCTCTTCAAAACATTGTGCATATTCAACATTTGGTGCATTGTTCCTTGGTTGTGCTTTTGATGCAGCCTCTTTATTACCATTTTCTTCTTCTTCACTTAATTCATAATCACTGTCAACAATAACATCCTCTTTTTCCTCCTCTTCCTCTTCCTCTTCATATTCATCTTCATTGCCAACATCTTCATTGTGCTGTTGTTGCCCTTTATCTTCACTCTCTAGCTCATTGTTATGAGTAGGATCATGGTAATACAACACCAATACTTGATATGATGAAACGCTCCCAACCAACCCTGGAATACAACTATCATTTACAACCTCATTCACAACATGCTGACCACTTTTTGCAGGCCCCTTATAGTAAACTTTTAATCTTGTAACCCTTTGTGTTATATCAACTTTGTATCCAAGATCTATCCCAATTTTCTTTAAATCCAATAATGACAGATAGTCATGAATACAGTTGTCAACCTAGCATACTTTGCCCCCCTTATACACGCCATTCTCCAACATACCAAAGTGGTGGAGTTAAAGAGTACACAACTCTTCTTTATCTACCACATTACACAAAGGTATGCTTACAAACAATTTCAATGACAATGAGGACAAAGTAAACACGGAAGAAGTGCATGCATGTGCAAGTGTGAAATCACTTCCATGACAAACCGACAGAAATGGGGACCATAGACAATAATAAAGACTCAAACCACATTTTTTTCCACCTTAAAGCCAAAACTTCATTGTCAACAACAAGACCACACATTTGCAAACATAATATATTGCAATATAAAATGCAGAAGGAATATTTAGGTTATAGTAACTTACCACACTTGCGGGGTTCTCCAGACCACCGAAAAAATTGTCTCCATTTGAAGAAGCCAAACACACTGTAGACCCAACACTTTTCTCTGTGATTTCCACGAAACTGAAATCCTATATATGTACTTTATCACTTTTTTAACTCAAAATACTTCGCTACTTAGTCCATTAATGCATAATGCTGAGATAATGTTCCAAAATCCCCTAAAAATTGAAGTCCAATGCCTCTCGATTTGAAAACCCTAGATGCGATTTTCCCCTTTTGCTCAGACTGCCATTTCTGTGCAACTGTCATTCTCTTCAAAACCAAAAGATTCGTTTTAATTAACTAAAAAGTCAAATTTGCCCATCACGAATCTACGAGATTCTCACATTGCTTGTCACATCATCATTTTAAACGGAAAAAACTAATGGACTTGACAGAAGGACTACTAGTGCAACGAAACACACAGTTGAGTGACCTCTGCAACTAATAATTGAGTTTAGTGACCCAAATGCAACTACGGGTATAGTTGAGGGACCATTGCTGCGAAAAACCTTTTTTATAAATAGAATGACACAAAGACATCTTTGTTAACTTATTTTTCTTTTTTATTTGATTTGGCAAAAAAATAAGCGGAGATTCTTGTTATTTATAATTTGAAGTTTCGAGTTGAAGAATAGATGCTCAAAATCCATATTTTACTATTCTTTGTTCATTAGTTTTGTTGTTATTGTTTGTGTGTTTTTATAACAAAATAAAAAATGTTACCTAATAAAATTAATTTGTTGATAATTTTTTTGTTGTTGTAATTTTAGTTTTTAATTTGTCTAAAGGGGCACATTCTATAAATTTTCCCTGGGCCTTAGAAAATCCAAGACCAACCATGCCCCCCGACAACTTGGTAGTGTGTGTGTGTGTGTGTGAAAGAACTAAGAAACCCGCATCCCCTTCTAATTTAGACTATTGCTTTTATTATAAATAAATAAAAAGAATCAACAAATAGCACAAGTACATGGATTTAGGCAATCAATTGCAATTTAACTTCATAAACGAAAACAAAATTTAATATGAAAATCATTGATCCGTGAGATTAATACTTAGAATTCTGAAATGAATTTCTAGAGTCAACTATCAATACAAGAATAGCACTAAATGTGGGTAAAATGGAGATTTAAAATGTATTTAATTACCGTATTCTATGAGTTGCGTCAGCCAAGGAATTTGAATCACAAAGAGTTACTGTGAGAACCCTTATTCTTAAAAGTGTTAATATTTTATTTTGGTAAGTATTAAATTATAATTATAATTATTTTATGAAAGTCTATGTTTTATTTAATGCAAATTCAATAATTTTGATGATATTCTTAAAACATGCTTTTTATACTAATTTTATTTAATGGTAGTAGGATTTTTGTCCTTAGCTATCTAGAGTTTCATGCTATTATTATTCTATTATATATATATATATATATATGTACATATAAAATATTATGTGCTATACTTTCATAAATATTATCACTAATAAATATATACGTTAAATAAATATCTTGATATATTCTATTTTCGTTGCAACTCCTGCATGTTATTAATACTTGGTGGCTAAGTTAAGGTTTGTAGTGATCAACTTTGATTGATATTAGTGATAGACATGTCCATTTTTATATAGCCAAGCAAGGAGCACAATCACCTTGTGAGTTGTCATCTGCATATCTTGAGTTTACTTAGCTTTAAACACCTCCTGCTATAATTTCTTATAGCTGGCAGCATTACAGTCTTATGCACATGCCAATTGACACCACTTAGTTGAGATGCCGACTTTCCCATCCTATATCATCTTTAGCCGACTTTTATTGTACTATAAATAGGAATGCAATTCTTTCATTTTTAACGCACGGCATGCATGGTTTGAATGAGAAAACCATAAGAGTTAAGAAAGAGAAATACTAGTGAGAGAAAGAATTTGAGTGCGGATACGGTGGAAATTAGGGAGTCGTCTTACAATTCTAGGAAAAGCTGTGGTGTCAAGGTAGGGGTTTCTTGGGGGGCCTTTTTCAGAGATTGATTTAATTAAATTTTGTGAGCATTATATTATGCGTGGTACTTGTATTGGGTGTTTACATAGTCTTAACTGTTTGAACAATGTGGGCATGATTATATGTACATTGGTGATATTTAAATGATTACATTGTTTTTATGAGATATATGAACTATATAATGTCATGGAAATTATTTGGAGTTCTTGGGTTGAGAAAATAATGGTGGAAAAAGAGGGTAATGGGAATGGTCTTTTGTGTAGTTGAGTCTAACTCTTGGCAGGTACCAGGTCTCAGGGATCCCACAGTGCACATGATTTTTATTGGGTGATTCGGGACTGGCGAAAGGGAGTTAGACAAGATGACTAACAAAAGGGGGAATTATGGATGATTAAAATGGGTGTTAGTTCATATAAATGGGCATTCGGGACCAAGTGGTATAAGCATGGTATGGGACGTGCAGGTCTGCTTGTCCAGTTATATGAATTAACGGGATTAGATGAAGAGCATTCATGCATTGTTACTAATAATGTGAAATTTGGTTGCTTGATTATTTGTCACTTAATTTAATTATATCAATTTATAGTAAAAAGGTTTATGTCCCTACTGAGCTGTGGTTTCGCTCACCCCCTAATAGATTTTGCAGGTACCGAACCTGAAATCTAGAGCTTGTGATGATTTTTGGCATGTCTATAGAATGTAACATAGCTTGTGGTTGAATAATGAGCTACTCTTTAAGTGAACTCTCGAGTAGTTCTAACTTGTAAAATAATGTAAAATTCTTATGGTTTCAAACGTTATTGTTTCCGCGTTTCTGCTGAATATTTTATGTGAAATATCTATTTTATTTATTTAAATGTCTTCTTCACATTTTAGTTATAGTTTGTATTCAATTCTATAATTAAGATGTGAATCACATCGTAACCCAAGGTTTTGTAAATCCAAGGGTTGGGGTGTGACAGTTACCACGGGTAGAACTCCACCACTAGTTTTTTTCTCACCATTTTTTCTTACCCTAAATCCCAAAACTTAAATGGGAGTATTCAATTTAGATTTTAAATGTAACATCCCATATCGACCAACGAAGAGAGGGTGATATGTCTTATATGTACATGCTCGCTTTCATCTAGCACAATGCCTTTTAGGAGCTCACTGGCTTCGGAGTCATGGGAACTTCGAAGTTAAGCGAGTTGGGGCTAGAGCAATCCCAAGATGGGTGACCCACTGGGAAGTTGCTCGTGAGTTCCCAGAAACAAAACCTTGAGGGCAGATAGGGGGCTCAAAGCAAACAATATCATGCTACGATGGATCCGAACCCGGGATATGACAATTTGGTATCAGAGCCACTCTGCCATGTGGTGCTAGTGTGCCGACAAGGACATCGAGCCCCTAAGGAGGGTGAATTATAACATCTCACATCGACCAACAGAGAGGGAGTGATGTGCCTTATATATACATGCCCGCCTCCATATAGCACGAGGCCTTTTGAGAGCTCACTGGCTTCGGAGTCATGGGAACTCCGAAATTAAGCGAGTTAGGGCTAAAGCAATCCTAGGATGGATGGTCCACTGAGAAGTTGCTCGTGAGTTCCCAGAAACAAAACCGTGAAGGCAGAGAGGGGGCCCAAAGCGGACAATATCATGCTACGGCGGAGCCGATCTCGGGATGTGACATTAAAAGATTTTAAAGAAGTTTAAAAGTTTTGGCGTATTCAATCACGATTTTAAAGAAGTCTATTCAATTCTGTGTTTATTCAATTCAGACTTTTTAAATTTCATTCAAATTTGGATATATTCAATCACGACTTTAAAATACTTTATAAAAGTTTGAGTGTATTCAAAAACTCATTGATTTTAAATGAAATACAAAAAGTGGTGGATTTCATTTGATAATAGACTAATTTTATGCCATAACAAATCTTTGCTTCTCCCCCAGAGATTTTGATAATTATATTATTTTTATTCTTATGATATGATTTCACCACTTCTACTACCACTATCTTATCATGACTATCACCATAGCCGCCGCCACCTCCACCACCACCCAACGCCGCCGCCACTACCAACCCCACCGACACCACCACCACCACCACCACCACCACCATCACCTCACTCCCACCGCCACCACCCTTACTCCCATCTCTACCACCACTACCACTCCCACTATTAGCCCCATCGTCACCACTACCACAACCACTGCCAGCATCACCACCATCATTGCCACTGCCACCGCTACCACCTCCACAACCACCACCACTACCTCCATCACCTCACTCCCACCGCCACCACCACTACCACCCCCACCTCCTCCACCACTACCTCCCCCACAAACCACCATCGTCATCACTACCACCACCATCATTATAAACTCCATTAAAATCAATAATAAAATTCTGACGAACTTAGTTTAAATCTATACACGAATTTAGTCAAAATCTATGTGGAGTTTGTAGAATTCAGTCAAACTTAATTATATTCAATTAAACTCCTTCAACTTTATAACTCTTTTAAAATTATTTAAAATCTAAATTGAATACACCCTCCTTAGTCTCTTTCTCAGAGAAGTTCTCACATACAGTGTATTAAATATTGATGCTGGCGAAGATATCGAGGGTATAAAAATAAGGAAATATCAACAAAAATATGGGTAAAATATATGTATCGAGATAAATTACCAAAAACGAAAATATTTATGAAATTTCTATGCTTTTTGTGCAATTTCCAAACATGTTCACAACTTAAACATATATCCCAAATATGACATCCAAAGTAATATTCAAGTATTAGCCCTAACCCAATAATTATCTCCAATCTTAACCATGGTTAACTTATTAGTTTTCTAAATGAGTTTGAAATTTTGTATATTAATTTTTCTAATTGAGTTTGAAATTTTTCATTATAACAACTTTATAGTGGCACTATTCTCATCCAAAACTACTTGGTCCATCTAATTTTTAAATTATTTATTACAAAGTCTTATATATCTATGGTCGGCCGAAGCTTAATGAAGCACTAACGTCGGGCGCCTAAATACTCACAAAAAAAGTGTTAAATGACAAATCGGGAGTGCGAATAATATTCCCTTAAACTTTTATACACCCAAATCTTATTAATATTTTCTCAAAACACTTCCCCAAATTCTTTCTCTTACTCTCTGAGTCTACCTCCGTCCACCCCCTTACATTTCCTTCTTCATCGAAAATTCAAAATCACTACTTCTTTCTTCTTCAATTGAAAGACAAAAACCTTTTTTTCATATTATTCACCGGAAAAATTGCAAGTGAGAGAATAAATGGAAAGAAAATGGAAGTCGTGATCCTCCTTGCTCAACCCTAGACACTCTAGGATCCTTTTTTAAACATGCTCATATTTCGATTCAAGAGATAGATAAATATACACATTCCAATGCATTGATTGGGGACGTCGGTAGTGGTTGAGGACACTTCTCGGAAGATCTGAAGATTGAGGTATATTTAATTTGCTCTTATGATTTTCAATTTTTTTCATATATTTAGAAGAGCAACTAATGTGTCTACAATTTTCTAACATTATTAAAACCAGTGTTGAGAGAATTGGAGAAACATTGTTTTAACACTTTTAACTTCAAAATTAATTGTTGAAGACAAGTGAGTTTTTATTTGTAGGAGAAAACTATTTAGTGTAAGTGCTCCATTTATTTTTTAAGTTGAGGGAGGGTTTAGATACTCAACTTCAAAATAATTAATCATTTTGACATCATGATTTAAGATAACTAAGGGCCTGTTTGATAACCATTTCAATTTTAGGAGGGTGTATTCAATTGTGATTTTAATATATTGTAATTACAGGATTTTAATATAATGGATTTAAGCGCGATTTGTATAATTACAAGATTTTACTTATGATTTTAATATATTGTAATTACATGATTTTACTTAACTTAGGACTTTTTGTATTCTCCAAAGAATCAAAATATTTGCTGTAGAATTTTACTTATAATCTTAATGGCTTCATAAAATTCTTCATCCAAATCTTCTTCCTCTCTATCATGATCTTCATACATGCTCGGGTAAATATTAAAATGTGTATTATGTGTTTGCTTGTTATGACCTTTTGAATGAATATCCCATTTCAACCAAAAAAAAACCAAGGGAGGTTGGGTGGCTTTTAAAATCAAAAAAATTTAGGATACAAAGGTTGCATTTAGATACTAACATCTCTCAGTGGCTAAAGGGATACATCATCTCACTTTAATCAATTTTAATCATGATTTTCCATTGAATATTATGCTTAATCAAGTTTCCTACAGGATGTGGAAAATCTTCTTGAATAACTTGGTTGGATTTTGACTGCCAGGTTCAACATAAAAAATAACATTGTTAAAGCTCATACCATACTTTAGATGATTTTTTATAGTTATAAATATATAAAAAAAATAAAAAAAGATTTACTGATATCAAAGAAGTCGGCAAATAATCTTTTTTTGGTAGGATTTAAAAACCAAAGTGTGGATGTGCTTGGTTGCTTTCGAGTGAGTGGCATATGCATGTGTTACTATCATGTGGCATATGTATGTGTGGCTGATAGTTAAGCAAATCAATCAAAACAACTATGCAAAGCTAAAAACATATATCAGAAAGCACGAAGAGATTCCACCTATAAGGCAACATATAATAAATGAAAATAAAAGTGAGAATGGGAGGAAGGGGTAACAAAAATGATAATAAAAAGTGAAAATGATAATAATTTCAAATAAATTTCAGTTTTTAGTTTTTGTTTTCACTTTTGTTACTCCTCCCTCCTATTCTCTCATCTCGTCTTCTCTCTCAATACTATCTCCACTCTCATTCTCACTTTTATTCTCCCTCTTTTTTCTCTATACTCTGTACAAAAAATGAAAACTAAAAACTAAAATTAAAATGGTTATTAAACAGGCCCTGCATCTCCAAGAGAGTCTCCAAATTTTAGCCAAATTATAGCTAAAATAGCTAGAAAGCTATTATAGCAAACCATAAAAGGTGTTTCCTCCAACAATGTTCTCTATTTTGGCTAATCTGAAATATTTTATTATTATTTTCTCTTTCTCTTTCTCCCTCTTTCTCTTGCAAATCAAATATATTAAAAAGAAAAGTAGAAACCCAACCCCACCAACCTCCCAAATGTCTCTATCTCTCTCCCATTTTTTCTCTCTCTTTCTCTTTCTCTTCAATTTGGCGAACCTCCATTTCTCTCTCCTCCTTACTAGATGTAGATAGCCAAAAGTTGGTTCTCCAAAATAAAGAGTCAAGTAGGGGGTCTGCAGGAAGGAGGAGTTTCCTTCTTTTTAGCCAAAGTAGCTAGGGATGAGAGGATAAGGAGTCTGTTGGAGATGCTTTAAGTAAACAAGTCTCATCTTCACTTTTCACTTTACAGACCGTATTTGCTTTGACGAATTAGATACTCTACTACCATTCCCAGATTCAATTTCTAACAAGGTTCACAATCATGCCCAAATGTGAAGATTATAAAGTTTTTGTTGATTTATATTTTGTTCGGTAATTTTTTTGTTCTCTTATTAAGAGAGTGTTTAAGGAGAGACATCACTTTTGCTGGATGTAGAAGGGAGAGATCTTCTAGTTTATGTCTTATGTCTTAATGTTCTTGGATAGGGCCACGACTCTATTCAAACACCCTCCGCTGACCCAGAGGTTAGTGTTAATTAGTAATTAGTAATTAGAACATAGCACAAATTAGCGCCCCCTTGCCTTGACCAAAATTTCTCCCCCAGCCAAACAAAAGTCATTTTGACAAAAACTTGGTCTGCTATTTAAATGTCTGAGTTGGATAGGATGCAATTGGGGAAATTGTACTTTCAATTTCAAGTCATCATTAATTAACATATAGCTGCTTGCTACCAACCAAAAAAAATATATACATGTGTGTATATATATATAACACTAAAACAAAAGAAAAAGAAGATTAGCAAACCATAACAGTAAAAGAAGACTGAGATGCAGGTAGCTGGAAGAAGGCATAACCTTCATTAGTTTTCAACTGGAGTGTCATCTAACCTCCAAGATGTAAGATCAAAGTAAGACACAGCACAGCAGGAAGAGAAATGATAATAATGTGGAAACTTGAAATAGTCTTAAGGTTAGGGAGGAGAAGATTTTCCACATAAATAATGTCATGAACTAATATCAAATGGGTATCAGTAGCACTACTGTTTGATCATTAATCAGAAGAACTAACAAAAGTACCTGTTTTACAGAATATGTAAGATCATGCAATTTCATAAGACATGAAAATTGGGCAGGTAAGAACTACAACTACATCAAGGAAATGGAGCATCAGCTCATGGACAACCAATAAGGAGATATTTTTCAAAAAACAAAACATGGCTGTTTGAAGAGGGTATGTAAATCATTCTATTTCCTTCAACGAAACCTTCGATGGAGCTGCCGTAAAGGGACCTTCAATCTTTTAGCTGCTTCTTCAAGTTCCAGGAAACAAGGGATGTTTACCTATCAAACTAAATCTGTGCTGCAGATAACGGCAAGGTAAGGATTATCATTAGGAACTTCCCACAAAACTTCAGCTGATATTGCATAGCCCCAACATTACATGGTTGGTAAAAGATAATGAAACACTTTTGATCCAATCTTAAACCAAGTCAATAAATTCCAACTGCATCAAATCAAGTCATCCAATACTCAACCAATTTGGTTTCTGAAGCATGCTCCATTCTTTCATCTTGATGTGTTTTCTAGATATCCTGCACAGTTTCTATTATAAATCACTCCCTTTGTCTTCTTCCCTCTCTGACAGTACTGGAATACACTGCCATCTCTATGTCATTAGCATTTCATCGTCATCTACTACATCTACTTCAACTTTGCATCATTCTACTTTGTCTTCAGCTTTAACCTTTAGTTACCTCAAGAAGTTCCGAAGGAGTAGCTGCTGGATCCAGCTCTCGACAACCCTTTGGAGCATTTGGAGCCTCGTGACCCGTAAGCAAGTATGAAGGGACATGATGAGAGAACCGAAACATCTCTTCTCTGGGGATTCTCCTGGCTTCTTCAGGATCCAAATGCCGGTGAAATACTGTCTTAAACCCAGCCACTTTCACAAGGGGAGCTACCAGTACACCTAGGTCTTCATTGTAGTCTTCAACAACTTCGACCATGTCATACTTGTGTATAACTTCATCTGCAGTGAGTTCATTCCAGTCAGGGGACCAATTCCTATATAGGGCCCAAACATCGCCCTTCCTGGGGTATATGCAGATGGCGCCCCGTGGACCTTTTGTCCACCGAACTCTGTGTGAAAAAGAATTGAGTGATTTATTCACTTCATATTTCCCTACTCGGAAATCCCCACATGTTTTTGAGAAGCCAGAAGACACCCAGCTTAGAGGCCCTAATTCACTATTTGTTTTTGAGTTCAGCCAGCTGATCCGCATTGTGAACGGATCCAAAGAAATCACATTATGAACTAAGGCATAATATCTGGGCATCCCATCATCGCCATCATAAGCGGCCCAGACCTGACTTTCTTCAAAACACTTCTCCAATCGATCCTTGTCAAAGTCATGAAAATCAGGATCAGGAACATTTATTGACATTGTTTCCAAGGTTTCTGCATCTGAGCGGACACCAGAAATTCCGGAAGGTTTCCTGTCACTAGCACCATTTTTTGTATCAACTGGCTCACGACACCTGTTTTGGTCACGTCGCGCGTCAATGTTTCCCAAAGTTTTTTCTCTCTCATTCCCATTCCCCACCTCTTTGACTGCATTTTTTGCTACAGTAGATGTATTCAGTCTCTTTAGAATTTCTTTCCTTGCCTTCTCCCTTTGTAGTTTCTGAATTTCAAGCAGGGATATATCCTTTGTGATACTGGTCCTGGAGTTTCCATTCACCCTACCTGATTCAAAATTAGCCTGTTTCAATCCAGAAAAATTAACCGATCCAGCTCCTCCAGCACCCACACCCATTTGATTTGTAACATCCTTTCCATAGCTGCTCTCACTAACCTCCTCCATGCCTCTTCTTCTCTTTGCAGCATTAGGGTGTCCTGTAGATGAAGCACCACTCACCTTCTTGGAGGCTTGATCCTTCCTCCGCAAGGCCTCCTCTCTTTTTGTTGCTGCTTGAGCCTCCTCACGCTCTCTCTTTGCTTTCTCATAGGCCTGCTGAACCACGCTTGCAGCTTGGGCAGCCGTAGAAGTACCGGATGCTTTTGAGAATGGACCCCACTGAAAGCTGTTTTGGTTATATGAATCAGGTGCGTTGAAACCTGCAGAGGTGGGATTACTCCTCCCTGTATTAAATGTGTTTTTATTAGCTGTTTCATGCTTTGGAGTCTGCCGCTGCTGTGAGGAATTCCATGCAGTGGCTGACTTGGAACCATTCATAGGTGGTGGAACTATTTCTACAGCAAGAAATGGTTCATGGCAATTGGGGCAAAGAAGATTATGATTAAGATAAATTCTGAGATACTCATATTGCATTTTGCATTTATGACACACAGTCCAAAAGGTACTAGGCCTTGCTTTATGAGAAGAAGCAGGAGCTGAAGAGCGGCTAGCCCGTGTGGTACCCTTCTGAGTCTTCGTGCCGGACGTTGTACTTTTTGTGAAATTGTAGAAACCATTGGCTCCTGAAGAAGCCTGTGAAGCCCCACTTGCAGTCGCAACTTTTTGGTGTACTTTTGCATTCCTTTTCTGGTCATAGGCTACTCTCTTAGCTTTGTCAGACAACAAACTCCATGCTTCTGAAAGTAGCTTAAATGCTCCATCAGCTCCTATAGACTTGTTCTTGTCAGGGTGAAGCATAAGAGCTAGTTTCCTATACTGTCTCCTTACCGTCTCATCGTCTGCTTTTGGATCCGCACCCAGTATCCCATACCAATCAGGTTCCCCATTCATTTTGTTCTCTGCAGCAACATAGACATCAAGGGTCGCCAACATTTGGGGAATACCCTCTAGCCCTGGAAACAAATTCTGAGCCTTCAACGCAAATTTCTTTGCCCCCATAATATCCTTTGCAGTGAACTTCTTCTCCGCAATCTCTTTTGCCCTGGTAGCCTCATCTCTGTTGCACTCCATATTCCTAGACTATCTTCCAGTGTGATGTTCGCTGACTGCTGAAATAATGCTCCCACTTGCTCTAACAATTCAGCCACCTTATGGTTCATTCAGAAAAATAAATTCAGTTAGAAAATTGTCATGAAAGTTCCATGGAAGCATAAAATTCCAACAACAAATGCATACCAACAAGATGTCTATCAAAACGAATTGATAAGACGAAATGGGTCAAATAAAATTTATAAAGCAATGCTTTTCTAGACCCTCATTTCCACCACGCAACCACAATATAACCAAAATATTCATTCAGATACATTTCTCAAAATCATATCTCTTCTAGCCCTCGAACTTAAAGTTGACCACTCAACTGGTTAGCTGAAGCAGAGATGCGGCACAAACTAACAGAGAAGTAAAATTAATGAGAATAAAAAGCATATCCAAAATCAGAGAAATGAAATTCATCCATGGATCTAGGGCAATCAGTTACAATTCAGCTCCAAAAGACGAAATTTTTTTCTTAATGAAAGACCCTGATTTTGATAATTTTAAGTCGGAAATGAATCCCTAGATTCAGTGATCAGTACATGAATAGCACCAAATTTAAGTAAAACCTAGATTCAGAGATAAGTTTCTTCACCTTATTATATGAGCTGTGTTGGCTGAGGAATTTGAATCGCAGAGAGCCACCATGGACAGACCTCCTTCACCAGTTTTTTTCTTTTTTTTGCCCCTCTTTCTAACCCAAATCTAAAAAATCCCCAAAACTGGTCCCTTTCTCAAAAAAACTTCTCACAACCTAGACAGGTATCCCAAATAGCAAATTATAAAATAGCACAAGGGCATGTGCCTTCCTCTCCAAAGTATTATTCTTAATTCTTAACCTAACCCAACATTCATTCTCATCCTAACCATGGTTAAATTTTAACTCTTGAATTGCAATGAGTAAAAAAAAAATTTGGTGTGTGTATTTGTGTGTTTATTCAGAAAATGATGTGGCAGTGTTTGATTGGTTCACGTTTGGGTCCCACTTACGAAGTAAGGTATTGATACGTGTACTGACATATCATTTGATGTACGGATTCGACGATCCTAGAATCTCTAATAAAATACAAACAAAAGTATGTGCAAAACCATCTTGAACCGATGTGTCAAATTACTATGTGAACAATTAGATGACAACAATTAAAGGAAAATTTTATTTTGATTGAGTAGTCAAATTGTATATGGATTTAAGGCAGTAAAATTAATATCAAATTGACATCACTTCAAGCTTTAGCTAAATATTATTTAGATATTTACTCGTGGTGGACCTCACCATTATTTACTTTTTAAAAAAGCTTTAATCATCATATTGGCCCGTCTATTTTTAAAAATATAATATAGCATGCGTGGGTTAGGCAAGTTACTTAGGGCGGTGTGCCCGCCCCCCTTCACTCAAGTTTGAGTTCTTCTTCTTGTAGATTAAATTAAGTTAGAATATTTAGACTATTGTTAATAGTAAAAAAAAAAAAATACATTCTAGGTTGAGTTAACATTTTTACAAAGTGTCAAATTACCGAATATGTACACAAAAAAAACTTTTGCTTGACTGTTTCCAAACAACATATGCTCATAATATTCTATATTTCTTGATTTTTCACAATAATATTCCAACTTTCAGTTATCTCTTTTAATTGTATAAAAACTAACACACAATCGCCCACTTGATTTCTTATTTTTCACTTGACATTGATCAATTTTCAACAGTGAATTTTGAAGTCAATGACTATTTGATTTAGTGTCACTAAGTCTTCATTTTATTGAAAACATTACGAGTTCAAATGACGATGATTATTGTTTAATCACAAATAAAAGAAAATGAATTTTCTAGTTGACCCATTTCATATATTATCATCCTCAGCCTCTCCATATTTTATTAAAAGATGTTTTTAATTGTTAAGTTTTCTTTAAGAGAATTACTGCTAGACTAAGAGCTAATTATTAATTCTTTAAATTTTCATAAGGAAAAAAATTTTAATTTTGACAAAATAAAGTAATAACAATAATACCTAGTTGAAATGTAAAGAAAAAATAATGAAACCTTTTTTTTTTTACAAGCGATAATTAATAACTCTAAATTAAAATAATTTAATTTAACTTTAAAATTGTTTAGAGTTAAACAAAATGGGCAATATGGGAAATTACAGGCAAATAAATTTTTGACTTACTATTGTATTGAGAAACACTTACATGATACGGGAATAACACTATTTTGTTATCTCTAACCAATCACGATATGTCACGCGTGATAACTTTTCCACGTGACAATTTGTAATTGGTTGAAAATAACAAAACAATGTTATCTTGTTTCATATAAGTTTTTCTGCTATTATGGAGAGCAGATGGAGATGGAAATTTCATACCCTTCAAAAAGAATAACTTTATAAGACGATAATTGAAGCAAGTCAAAATGAATACTTTAGTTGGCGATCATAGCATTGCTTTGGGTTTAGCCACTCCAAAACTTCTATTCTTAGAGCTACTCCAGCGGTAAGCCCAGCCCAAGGCTAGGGGGAAAAAAAAATTTGCGTTCCAGCAGAGCAGCCCAGGCCCGGGGGGGTGTGGGACCCACCAACCCGGGCTGGCCCGAAGGCAACTTCCGCCTCAGGTCCAAAACGCGGGGGCTGACGTCGAGCACGTGGTAATCAAATTTTTTTTACCAAAAAAAATTTGAACCAGCGGCTGGAAGCCACGTGGCACGCCCCCAGCGCTTCGATTTGATTCCACAGCCTTCATCCAACGGCTAGCGATTTTTCAGCAATAAAATTATGAAAAAAATTCGAAATTTTTTTATAAAAAAACTAAAAAAAACTTTAAAATTATGATTTTTTTTCCTATAAATAAAAAATACTTTTAAATACTTTAAAATTCTGATTTTTTTTCTTCCTATAAATACCTATAAATACCCTTCACTTTCAACACCAATTCTCATACATTTTATTCTACTTCTACAATTACTCAACATTTTATTCACTCTTCACTCAACATTTTCATCTCTTTCACCTTGTATTTTTATTTTTCATGTTTTGTATTAAAGTTGGTGTACTTCATGTATTTTATTTTTGTAGTAGTAATTCTTAATGACTTGTATTGGATTTCTTTATTTAATAAACAAAGCATTCAATAAAGGCCATTTTATTCAACATATTCCATACATCAAACAAAACATAATTAAAATATAATAAAAAAACTACAAACAAGGCACAATAATAAATAAAAAAACAACACAACCAAACCATAAGTAAATAAAACCCAAAAATTGAACCCAAATTTATCTTAAATTTGAATTTTGAAATTCATCCGAAATTTGAACCCAAAAATCTTATCCGGAAATTTTATCCGATTATGAATAATCTTGACACGTAGGAATCCGGAAATCTTATCCGAAAATATTATCCAAATTAATTATTGAGGTAAAAAAATTTGTGAATAAAACAAAAAAATGAATAGTAACTGCCCTTAGCAAGGGCAACAGGTGGAAACACAAAATACTATTTGCAAGGGCAACCACTATTCACGTGAATAGTGGCTGCCTTAGCTCACCCCTTGCCATGGCTAAGGGCAAATGGGTGGAGTTGCTCTTAATGCAACTCTAATCTAACAGGATACGGAGATATGGTCCAATGTCTTAAAAATGAGAAACCAAGACCCAAAATAATAAAAATACAAGAGGCATGGCGACCACGTGGCCCATGGTAGCAGCCCCTCCTTTTTGTGATAGTTGTAACGGACGTTGGGGGGCAACATGCCAAAATCCAAAAGCAACCAAACTCGTGAGATGACGTCCACGTTACAGTGAAACAAACGGTGCTAGGAGAGTGCTTATCTGTATATATAAAGTAAAAGATAGAGAATGGTGAAACATTCAAAATATCAGAAAATGTATTTAGTTAATTCAAATATTAAGAATTAAAATTATTAATTAAATGAGGATAACATGGTAAATTCGTATTTTTTATATTAAAAAAATTAAAATTAAAAACAAAATTAGATAATATGTCATACTTTTATAGAACATAACTACCTATATTATCTTTCCTTCATTCTAAAAAGAAAATAAAAAAGAAATGCGTGTGCCAATGAGCTAGTTAGTTCAATATGTAAAACCATGAGATGTTTGATTTTCTACGAAATGACATTATGTTTTATGAAATTGACATATAATTTTTTGAGTTTAGCACAAACACCAAAAATTAACGTGTGCTCAACTTAATATAAAACAACCCTATACTTGCATAACCACTATTAGTATTAGTATTTAAGGATAAAATTTTTATTTTTTTATTTTTTTATACATGTGATATTTTACATTAATCTAATCTAAATTACGGAGAGGGATTACGACAAAAAACAAAAACGAAACTACAGGTGCAGAATAAAGAGCACATCTGCTATAGCCAGCTAGGCTAAAGCCCCTTTTTTTTTTTTCTAATTAAACAATAAAAGTAGCTAAAAACAAGATTGCATACTCCATAACCTATAACCCAAAACTTTGATTATGATCCATAACCCAAAACTTTGATTATGATGTTTCGACCCCTCAACCCAGAAGTAGTTTATAATTTATTGGGTCGTGTAAAGCTATGAGATTAATAATAGGCCCAACTTGATGGCCAAATTTTTGTTTGGGGGAAAAGTGGACCCTTTAATGAGGACACAAATCATAAGTTATGGGCTTTAGGGTCTTGCACCCAAGAAATCCAAGTTTCAAGGGCAAAAAATTAAAAATTTATTAATGTTTTGTTTTCAAGGAAGGAAAGAAGAAGAAGAAAAGTTACAACAAAGTTGATGATTGTGAAGTTTATCTAACATAAAGTTATAAAAATCTGGAGGAAGCTTGTGCGATATTTGGACCCTCAAATAATGTTGAAAATGAGTCAAATTAACTTTATCCTATTTCCAATATTGCGACAGGCAGATGCATATTGGCCTTCCAAATTTGAGGATTTTTACTGCAGATGATTGCCGCTGTGGTCAATGAT